TTTGATGCAATTTGGTAAACTTATAAATCTGTTAGAAATTTAATGACATTCGTCTCATATGTAGCTAAAATGATTCCAGTGATACATGACCTAGAATTTTGCAGAAAAGGTACATTTTTTGTGGACATGCCTTATTTCAAAATGATGTATCTCTGCTTCATTAGTGCACACAGTTCATTCAAATGTCATTTTAAAAAGTATCGAGTGGATCTCCATTTTTAATTATACACACATTTTAAATCTAGGTTTCAAAAATAAAGTTAACCTTAAATTTAACCTTTGACCTTGGAAAGGTCATTTGATGTCGACCCCGATTTTTTGAAACTCAAACATTTAATGGGTACGTATATACAGTATTAGTATATAACAAATGTTCTGGGGGGTATTCTCTTAGTTCAGAAGCTACATTCATTTGAATGGCCCTAACCTTAGCTGAAAACCTTGACCTCAAATGTATATCCAAACTTAGGAGACATAACTCTACCATTTCCATTCCTACCATTCTTACCATTTGAGACATCTAAACCATTTGAACTACAATGGTAAGAACTTCACTATTTGATCAATTTTGTTTATTTTCAGGTCAATAAAATGTTCTGGAATTTGAATGTTCTTAATTTTGGCCGCTATTGCTGCGACCTTATTGAAAATAAATTAGTATATCTTTAAAAGACATTATCCCTTAACTAAAGATCTAATAGAATTGTCACGAATTCACAACGAACCATAAAATATGTAAAACCTGCCGTTAGCAAAATCTCTGGATCCAAAGTCCGCAATATACAGTGAATATTCTGAGGTTGAAACCATAAAATATAATCTAGCAGCATTTGAGGCTGAAGATGCAGAAGATAATGAAGCTGATTCAGTATTAGCTTTCCAATATGATTAAGCTACTGGGCAAAAAAGAAGACACCACAGAAGCAAGGAGAGCATCTCATAGACCACATTATGCAAAGACGAAACTTAAAAGTGGAAAGAACTGTGAAAAAGCAGCTTGAATGTTTTGCTGGTCATTCAATTTAATCCACAGACTGATAGAGATCGAAATTCTTCAATATTTTAAAATGAGTGAAGAAATAAAAATTGACACTCCACCAAAATCAGAAATCAAATTATATTGGAATTTAATCATTCCAAATACATGGTTAGGAAAGCAAAATGTTTGGTGGCAGATTTTGCAGTACAGTATTTTCAACACCAAATGGGGAAAAGTCTGCCTCATGAAGTTGCAGCTAAGTAATTGAATTCTATCATCACAACAAGAAAAGAGCATTAAACAGATTGATGCTGGAGAAACACTTTAAAGATGCCAGAACTAAATCAGGTAGCATACAAATTTATGATTAATATATGTATACTGCATTATGAACATACGCTGTATACATGTACTGTACTACAGGTATATACAGTATTTGTGGTATATCTGTATATACATAATCACATACTTTTATGCAGACGATGAATCACAATAACGTGGCTGAAGAATGTTGACCAAACCACACACTAGAGGATGGAAAGACGATGACATTTCAGTCCATCTTGAAGCAAAATTTGGTAATGGTCCATGATGGACTGAAACATTGTCGTCCTTTCATCTTCTAGTGTGATTTGGTCAACACATACTTTTACAACAGGAACCCAGAAGATCCAGTCCATTAGGCTTGTCAGCAAGGGGCTGATAAAAAATACTCATGTATTCTTCAAGTGCATCCAGAAAATGGTGTCCATTCTTCAAAATGCCACTATCCCTTTGGCAGATAGGAAAGGCTTCTTCTTAACACACTATAATGCCACTGGTATCTTGTCTTTATCTTGGTCAAGCAAGAAAATGAAATAAACTTGTTTCCTTCACCCACGTGGACCTGCACACATGTAGGTGAAGGAATTTGTGTATCCCACTTTGCCAGATGAAATAGTCACCGTTACAAGTGATATGATAATGATTGCACAGTTCCCATTACTGGCAGGATCTACACACCGAATGTCAAGAATGAATAAGGCCACAAATATAATTCAGCAGCAATAGTGAGTACTACAGAGGCTGACAGAGGATCATTTTAGTACATATATCAATTTACAAGTTCTGTTCAAGACGTGTACTAAATTTACATTGAATTGAATTGCGCCCATCTTCATGAGTAGGTAGTGTATTAGTTATTGTCCTGCGTGTGCAGAGTGATTTAATTTAATTAAGACTACAAAAAATGATACAAACACCTACTCATCAGGAAGGTGACTGGCACGGCTGTAGGGGAGGAGGCAGCCATAAAATTCATTCCAATGAAGTAATGGCTGATTAGTATTTCTGCCAGTTAATGTTAAAACTAAAGAAATTAATGAGAAATACAGTAGAACTTTGTCCCACCGCTGTAGTTCAAATGGAACTTTGTCCCACCACTGTAGTTCAAATGGTTCCAGAGTTAAGTTTGGATATATACTCAAGGTTTACAAACAAGGTTAGTTCCATTAAAATAAATTTAACTCCTAAACTTTGAGAATACCCGACAATTTATGTTGTATATAGTACTAATACACATTTATACTAATTAATGGTTTGAGTGAAAAAATCTGGGTTAAAGTCAAATAACTTTTGACCTTGGGAAGGTCAAATTTAAGGTCAACTTTATTTAATCCCTGAATTAAAATATGTATAGAATAAAAGTTGGAGAGACACTTGATACCTTTAAAATGGCATATGAAAAACCATGTGCCATAGAAGCTCAGATACGTCCTCATGAAATATGGCTGACCTTAGAATTTTTTTTTTTTGGGTATAATTGAAGGTTGCTCATCTTTGGAACAGTTTTACCTACAGATGAGACAAGTCATTCAATTTATCTCACCAAGATCAGTGTGTACCAAATTGCATCAAGATCATAGACGTAACTGGAAACCACCTGCGTGAAGCAATAGGGGAATGACCCCTCATCTAAATCATCCACCGTGAAAAGCTCATTCCTCCAGGGCTGTGCATGCTCCAGTATTTTTTCCTATTCTCCTATTGGACATTTAACAAGAATACAAACTACAGTATTGCATTCTTTGCAGATGATACTAGGATTTCTATGAGACACTATAAAGGCTAAAGCAAACCTCCATATTTACACAAATCAGGTCTGCCAATGGGCCACAGAAAATAAAATGTTAATGATCAGTTTACAGCTCATGTATTATGCAAAATAAAAAAAAATGCATAAAAGTCAAATCACACCATAGAGCAAAAAAGCAATTAAAAAATTTGGGAGTAAAACATGCCAAAGGACCTTAATTTTCAAAAATACAATAAAGTAGCTGACAACTGCAGAAAAATGACAGACTGAATAACAAGAACTTTTCAAAGAGATGCCAGACCAATGATGATAATTTTACAACTAATGAATTACAGGGTGGAATATTGTTGCACAATAACAGCCCCATTCAAAGCTGGAGAAATTGTTGATCTGGAGTATATGGAAAAAAAAAAATTCCCTGCCCAATCCACTTGATATACCAAACATTTTTGGGGGCTCGCTAAAATTTTGTAAATCTCTATTTACTCTAGTGTAGTCAGGAGTGAACAATTCATACTTTGAAAATATTAAGCAGGACTGGTTCCAAATCTGCATTCGGAATTAACGCCAAACAAGACGAGGAGGCACAACAGGAAGTGCAAAAATAGCCGATGAAAAGGAGAGGTGCATTATGTACGCGAATTCTATCAACACCAAAGACTGAAGACTTCAACACACCCTACATAAAAGGCATGACTACCCAACCTCTTAATGTTCAACCGAGAACTTGATAAGCACCTCCAAAGGAAACCTATCAGCAGGGCCAAGATATGTCTGCTGCAACTAGCTGCATCTAACAGTTTGTTTAGCCAGACCAATTAGGTCTGGTCATTGACCAGGCCATGGGGACGTTTACCCTCAGTCATTTCATTTAAATTACCAGCCAAAGTCAGAACCCAGAACACAAGCTAAAGATTCAGATTCAGGAAGTATATGGGGAAGAGATGGTTTGGTGACTAGGTGGCAAACCATGGAATCAGTTGCCAATTAACATCAGAAGAAAATGGTATTGCTAGCTTTACAATTAGGCTATTGATACATGGAGGGGGGAAAAGGGGGAGGTTACATGGGCACTGCCTACAACTGGTCAAGAGCCCATTGCAGTGACTATCTTCTTACCACTAATGTTCCGTTAAATAAAGGAGCTAATTTATTTTTTGATTTAGTTGAATGCCTCTGCTGCTTTACAATACCTCATAGGCCTACATCCACTTTTATACAAAATTGGTGCCCAGGCAACCTAATAACATACCACACAGTTCTCTACACATCATACAGAATAGTTGTTTTTCCCTTAGATACTCAAGATGTGTTAAAATAGGTTGAAATAAGTTCTAGTTTACTAATTATGTAAAATATTGTACAATTTTTCAACCCTACTTCCAGCATTCAAATTTCCAGGCACCTCATAGGCCTACATCCAACAGATCTACAATTCTCAGGCAAACTTAGGGTTAACTATTCACAAGATTCTTAAATTACCTCTCATCCATGCTTCTTATTTTCCAGCATGCCCATTACCTAAAGTAGAGAACCTTGAACAACCAGAAGGGTCTAATACAGATACGGCACGAAACCTCCATCTACAAGCCTACCCTCAAAACCCACCCAAAGCCTACTAGCACACAGTACCGCCCGGACTACGGTCCTAGGTGTATTAAGCAGTAAAATAACCAAGACTACCGGGGGTTTATGTCCTACAGGAAAGGTAGGAGGGAGGGGCCCCGCGCCGATGACATCACCCAAGCCAGAGGTCAGATCCGGTGCCTGTGGCGGCGGCATCATCTCCTCCATACACCTCTTTCCACGGCAACTACACCAGCCTCATGCCCTAACTACCCGTCTCAAGACCACACAAAAGCGTGCATGCAACAAGCCATGGCGTTGGCGGCTCTAGCACGTGGCTAGCTAGCCTGCCTGGGGGGGGGTTCAAGCACCCACACCAACCTGAAGACTTGGACTCGAGGGCCTCTCTCAGGCGCTCCACCAACACCGGCTTATTTCCCTTGGTGTCGAGGCCTCGCTCCTGCAGCTCGGCCCTCAGCTCCGCCACCTTCATCTTGCTGGGGTCGATCTCTTCACTCATGGTGCACTCTTACACTCGGCCACGCTCGCACGCACAAAATCTGACGTCCTAAGTGTGGTTTCCCGCGCTACACTTCTACCATACAAACATGTAATATGGCGTCTGGCGGCCGAGTCGGCGGGGTATGAGAGCTGCTCGCCCATTGGTCGCCGCCGCTCCAGGCTGGACTTGCCGCCTTTTCATTGGTCACTTCCATCCCGTTTCCTTAACCTATTTTTCATTGGTTATTACAACCCAAGCCATCCTATAATGGTGCCTAATATTATTAACAAAAAAAAATATTTTTACAGTAAAATACGTCCAAATAATCGACATATCTATTCTCTATGCAAATTAAATATTTGTAACGAATGTTATATGCAAAAGTAATCAAGGATATGTCTAAAAATCTTTTTATTTTAAGCAGATGCCTGCTAACTTTCTTGTAGGAAAATTTGCTTTTTGCTAAATATGTCATGTTCTTGCAGGTAAAAAAAAAAGGAGAACGGACCCGATATATAATACTTTATATTTTAAATAATATTTAAGAGCTAAATGAAGACGCAATGCGTCAGAGGGAGGGTGCGTGACGCAAGTACCCTGCCCTGCGTGACTGCCCGAAACGCTTTGCGTAATAGTGGCTTTAGGCATTGTATGTACTACCTCTATCTATAAATCTACCAATTTTTGTAAAACATCTTGTATGTATGTACTTTACCTCAATAAACATTTATTTATCTAAGTGAGCGTGAGGAGAAAGTTAGCGGAGTGTGCTAACCCGTGACGTAGCGGCTCCTCGGGGTTTGACATCCGCTCAACCCCCAAGAACAACATTACGTGGCCACCAGTACAATCAGAGGGAAAAAAATAATCTAATTCACCTTGGAAATAATGTAACCTCCGCTGGTGAGAAGACATTGGTATCAAGGAGTGTAGGAGTAGTGGAGTGATAAGTGTAGTGTGGAGGGTGGAGCAGTACTGGTGCTGGGGGGACCGCCTCTCCCTCTATACTAGTCAGGTCAACCGGGTCAGGTCATACCCCCATATACCCCCTTATACCCCCTCCCCCAATCACCTTGCAGAGGCAACAGTTGCATACACTGTCAAGATAGCCAGTAGTTTGTCAACAAGAGGGCTTAACACTTGCTATCTGGTAGTTATTAACCCTAATTCTGGCGCCCCCCTAATATACATGGTTATTTCTAAATCATTGGTTTATACAGTTCAGAACTGTATTGTTGCATCAGCACAATCGACCTCTGATGCTTTGGGTAATTAGGTACGAGTTAACTTGTTATAGCCACCAATTGGTCTAGCACATGTGGGGGTCCAAACCTGCAGGTACTTCACTTATCATAGATTATTTATCACGTGCATGTCCAATTTGGGGAGATATGAAGCTTTAATTAAAGATTTACACATAATTGTTCCTGAATCAGTACTAGTATAAATATATTTGTTAAATATGCCAGGGAAGCTGCTGTGACAAATTGCATGTGAGCCCCACTTGGGGGCCAGGCCCACAGAACATGGCCACATTTATGGATTGGAGTAAACAAGTTTGTTCCATGGACTTGTTGTTTTAGATTCAGCAACTGTGAACCAAAGGTTGCAAGTAGCACGGGATATGGTGAGGCAGTAGTGGACTTAACCTGGCACAGGAGCGGGGCTGTGTGGTGCACGCACTCTCGAAACTCTGCCCATATACAGTTGGCCGATGCCATGTTCAACACTTTGCAACCAACAGAAATACTTAGTTGATGACTGGGAATGAGCAGTTGGTTAATTTGTTTAAATAGTCAAAACACTGACTTTACCTAATGGATACTTTGTAGATACTTAAAATATAATGTCTGTGTGACATAAGCAATATTTTTTTACAGGATAAAGGTATTGCTGTACTTTTAGTCTGTTTATACAATTTTGTATCCAAATAGCATAGTGCTCTGTGGTCTCTATCCAATGTATATTGCTACTTGTGCTAAAATGTGCATCATGTGGACACGGTCTACATAGCTCAGAGTTTAGCAGTGCACCAAACATTATTCGATTCTGTGCCATTTGGGGAATGAACATCATGTGCTGATTTGATGGATGAGAAAAAAATCATTGCTGCTCGTACAATTACCAAAATATCGAAGCATCCCAAGGGCTTGTATCAACTAGTGTAGGATCCTTGGGATTGTTAAAGGTTAATACCATTCATTATTCTGGTTGGTCAATTACTTCTGAGATAACTAAGTGCATTGGATATAGACTGCTTCCCAACATTGTGTAAAAAAACAGCAATACAGTACTGTACTGTAGCTCAGTGCTGTTATATTTAATATGCAATGCTAAATAATATATTTAAGTTCCTCTGTGTATTTTAATACTGTATATCAAGTATACTAATGTTGAGGACCTTCGTCTCCCCCCCCCCCCCCATTCCTCTCAATCCCTCCCTGGTTGGTGGTGGATCATAACTTTTTTTTTAGCAGGATATACAGTTCAGTACTATATAGTCTTGGTATTAACGGAAGAGCCAATAATGAGCCCTAACCTAACCTAAAGGTTGTGGATACATCGGATACAGGGATATAGGACAAATGAAGTACAGTATTACTGTACTTTACCTGCATTATGCTTACCTGTATATAGGTAAAAAAAATGCCTGCTCCTCATAAAATTCATGTTACATTACACATTTTCCAAATAAGTGCAGTTTGTCCATGGACCTGAATCCAAATAGCTGCATGCTCTATGGACCTGTATCCAAATAATTCGATGCCCTATAGACCTGTATCCAATTAGGTAACCTGAGATATGAGTCTGTTACCAATGTACTCAGTCCTTAGATTATGTGAGGGCTTATTATTTAGTTAGTTGCTCAGTTATTACTGGTAAACTACTGCACTTCTTCTTATTTGGTTCACTTCCCAATTATGTATGAAATGCCATCACTTGAACTTTTAGTCTTGTGGCGGTCACATTTTAATGACCTTCAAAATAAATAATGCTGAGACAACTTTTGCTTACAGAGACTGGTAAGATGACACGACTTCGAATATGCCAAGGAATATTGCTGACTATATTAGTTAGTACAACCTTGGCACAGGTAGTGGACGACCTGGTACGTATCAGATTAATCATAGGGGTTCGTGTACATGCACAAAGAGCTTCCTAAGTTACTCCTTGTTGAAATACATACAGTATACTAATGTACAGTGTATATGGATTTTTTTTTTTCTTATTGGTGTTGCTGTATTTACAGGTACGGTACTGTATTTCAAAACACTTGCTCTAAGGATTTTTATTGAAATCACTCATTGTTTGGCAAAGCAAAATATTTTTTTTTTTTTTTTTTTTTTTTTTTTGAGATATATACAAGAGTTGTTACATTCTTGTACAGCCACTAGTACGCGTAGCGTTTCGGGCAGGTCCCTGGAATACGATCCCCTGCCGCGAAGAATCGTGTGTTTTGTCGTTTTGTCGAAGAATATGTAATTTTATGACCTATACTTTGAATGTTTTTGCCTTGTTTTAAATATCATTTTTTAAAATAAATATATAGTACTAGATTTGTTTAATTTCTTATGTCGCCTGTTTGTAAATATTTGCCTTCAAAATACTGTGTATTAAAGAAGATTTCTTCTGTATGTATTACCTCGACTTGAATCAACTATCAGTTGATATATTTTATATACAGTATTTTGTTATGTAATATTTTCAACAAGAATTAAATAAAGTTATACATGTACATTATATGTAAACAAAAGTATTTTTCCAGGATTTCACAGTTTCTGATGGAACAGTCAGTGAAGACAGCGATGTTGACACAATAGAATCACCGAGTGCAATAGATGAAACAGAACAAGACTCTAAAAGTAAAGAAGATTCGGATAAACAAGAAATTAATAACAAGAGTGATAAAGATGGGTCTGAATCCAAACAGGAATTGTCCCCAAATGATATTAGAGGTGAGACAAAATCAAGAAGCTCGCATTATACTGTGTTTACTGGTAGGTTTTCATTGAACATGAGTTACTAAAATATTATTAAACTTTTTAAATATTAGACCAGGAGACTTGAGTTACCCATAGTAAACAGGGGATCATTGATATAATACTGATTCTAGTTATGCAGTCACGTTAGAGTATGGACGTTGCATACTCTCGGAAGTAAAAAGGTAGCTTAATTTGGAGTCTTACTAAGTCTTATCATTTTTTTCCAAAAAGACCAATAACAGGTTGGGAAAACATTTTTGTGCTTAGTAATTGAGGTTGACTTGTGAATTATTATTGTGAGCCTGAAATAAATTTAAAATTTTACAGAAAGCAAAGTAAATGTATATCCAGTTAACAGGCAATTTTGAACAAGCATAAAATAAAGCATTATTGCTTTATTAATACATTCAATTTTCATGTAATGGTAAAATTTTCATGTAATAATATTCAGGAAATTTGACTGTTTTATAGTTAGGTACATGTGCAAATGTTGAAGCCAAATTGATTTTACAGGATTCACTTAGCATTTCTCTCTTCCCACAACGAATGCTTGACTTGCCAGTTTAGTCCGAGACTTAAATTAGATGACTGGGTCTTATCTTGTAAAAAAAAATTCCCTCTTGTGTTATTATAAGTTCCTATGCTTCTTATTTTTATAAGTTCTTATGCTTCTTATTTTTCAGCCAATGAATTGTACGATGCAGCAATGAGTATTTTAAACCAGACAAAACAAGATGAACGACAAGCATACACCCTCTTACAGTCGGCAGCAGAGTTGGGCCACACAGAATCCCGACAAAAAGTGGCATGGGCACGACTTCTTGGTAGATACCTCAAACCCAATATCACGGAAGCTGCTGAAATATTTGAAGACTTGGCCAGTAAAGGCAATGCAGATGCTCAAATGGTAAAGAGTATGCATGGCCTAAGCAAAAGCATATTACATATCCCCCAATAAAGATTTTGTCTCCCGATGCTGTACCTTTTGAATGTCTCATCATATTGACTTGAAACCTCAAGTCAGGGTTATCAGTCTAGCAGCCATCCCTATTGGTCTCTTATATATGATAATATGCTTTTGTATACAGTTTTTGATTCACATATTTTAATTTTTTTGGCTATTGTTAGTTTAAGTATGTATGTAGATGAAGTAATTTGAGAAATAGGTTTTAAACATTGAGATTGGCACTTTTTAAGAATAACCTCAAGTGTCATCTTCTTTAAAGTCTCTTAATTCATAATCTAGTTGAATTACTTATTGATTAATTCACTTTGCCCATTGTATTGATGTGTTAAACTCCTACATTACATAATTGTGATGATAAAGATGAGCATCATATTTATATGGGATAGCCCCTAGAAGCCAATGCTAATCATTCATGTGTGAAAACAATACTCAATATAATTTTAACAATAATTGGCATTGAACTTTCAAAAGGTTGTAAATATTTAAGCAAACCCTTATCTCTATTAGGTTGATATGACTACAGTTATAATGTCCTTCGATTGCCTGCAATCTCAAAATTTTTAGTTTTATCATAGAGATGATTGACTTGTAATTGTATAAAATATTAGGAATGACTTCAGTGAGAAACTGATTAATGTGATATATGCAGATATACAGTAGATTCCTTAATACATGTGCAGATATAAATCAATTGTATATATTCATAAAAAGTATTATATGGTATTTATGTGATTTATTTCATACAGGGTTTGGGATTCATGTTTGCTACAGGCATTGGAAAAAATTCAAGTCAAGCTAAAGCATTGGTGCATTACACTTTTGGTGCTCTCGGGGGCAGTCAGTTGGCACAGATGGCCTTGGCGTACAGATACTGGTCGGGCAACAGTGTGGCCTCCAGTTGTGAGACAGCCCTTACCTACTATAGAAAAGTTTCACATACAGGTAATGATGCTAAAACCTTGTAACTCGAAAGTTTCGATTCTGTTGTGAGACTTGCTTTCAGAAGAGGATAATGCTGTACATAGTCCACCATATTGATATACTGCATTGGAACCATAGGGATTATTAAGGTACAGTATTAAGGAATCATTGTAGAATAAATCAAGCCAGCCGAAAGTGACCAATGTAACGCTCCTTCAGCACTGGTGAATGTTAAGGGCCCTGGTTATTGTTGGCCTGCTTGGATACCTTTGTTGACCACCACTAGGTGCCAGCAGCATCACACACACACAGCCATCAGTCAGCAGGTATAGACCAATTTCAGTTGGGGTCGAACCTGGTTTCAGTAATTGGTGCCTAGTACAAGCTGTGTTTAGAGGTTGCTGCATGTCTCTAATAATTTTCAAAACAATGTTTTAGTAACTTTTCTTTTCAGTGCTTGTGATGTGCAGTACTGTTTTTGTGTATGACTATAACACTTCAAATAAATTTATCTCCAGCAAGGGATTAAAATGTGTACTGTATTATGCACCAAGTACAGTCAAATATTACAACAGGTGTCCTTTTGTTTCATGAGATGCTATTTATCATATTCTAAGTGCTCTTCCTCAGATTACTTTTAAATCGTAGGTTTATACTTCTCTCCTCAAAATTCTAACTTATTAGAAGGCTGATATAGTTGAGTCAGGCTGATGAGTATGTTAAGAGTCCATAATCTGAGATAAACGTTTCCCTTACAGATGGAAAGGTAATCGGAGATTACCGTTCCACTTGTAAGGCATCTTTTTGACCATGTCCTATTCAGAAATTTAGAGGTGGTTCTTCTGCCACACAAATTGCACCATTGTAAAGCTTTACCAATCCAAGATACCCCACTCAAGTCTACCAGTACAGTTTGCAGTTTTTGACAGGCAGTCTTCACGGTAAGCCATTCTTGGGACTACATCATAGATGTTTTGCCTGCCTGGCTTTTCTTACTGATTTGTTTATTTAATATTTTCCATTTTAGACAGCTATCTTAGATTAGGAAACATCCAAATTTGATAGTTCAAAAGTCAGGCTTTGAGTTATGAAATAGGCCTTTTTGGGCTCCCTTCTTACCCATTTTCTTCTGCAGTCAGAACCGAGTTCTTAGTGTTACGATGTATGTGAGCAAATTTGGTGATGAAGACCAACAGATGTGTGTGTGTAACCTCAAAGTAGTTGGCTAAGGTGTTCAAGCAGGTCAAGCAGGGAGTTACTAGGCCTTACCCTGGCAGTCAAGTATTGCAGAGGAAGGCTCTAGAGTGCTTTTGAGATTTACAAAAGATCCTCTGTTGGTCATTCTGGACAGGATGGATTTATTCTCCAGTGACTCCCTAGCACCTTAACCCCTCAGGCTCAGTATGAAAAGTTTCCAATGGTGGTGATGCCATCCTACTTGGCTGTACATAATCCCATTATATGTATACAATGCATCTATATTTTAAGAAGCAGCTGAATGATCCGTTCAAAAAGGTACTTTTCATGAAACTCAAAGCAAGATATTTTTTCCCTGCAGACTGTACAGACATATAAATACATTTTCATCCCCCCCCCCCCCCCCCCCACCCATTTCTCACTTTCATGGTGTAAGGAAACAGCGGCCTAATAAGCTGAAACAAGTATACACACTTTTTTATCACCAAACCATATCCCATACCATGTTCTGTGGATTGTTCATGCTCACTGGCCAGTCCACTCATCTTCCTAGCCTTTCTCTCCCATTCTTTACCTCAAATTCACTCAAATTCTCTTCGACAGCCTACTGTAACTCATTTGTTTAACATTTCCAAAGCATCTTGGTTTATTGACATTAGTACTCTTTAACTCTTTGCCTTTTCATTCCTTGCTGTATCTAATCTCCTAATCTCGCACATTCTTCACAGACGGTCCATTTTTAGTACTCTAATTCTTGATTTTTCAGTCATTCCACACCATCGTCTCACACCCATACACAAAGGTAAGCACTTCCACTTCTTTGTGCAACCCTCTGACTGCACCTACCAGTATCTCCATCCTGTTGTCTATTAACCAAGGTTTTCTTTGCACCAGACACTTGCCTTCCCCTGACTTGCCCAATTCTCAACTTTAAATGCACATATTCCTCCTCCTATCAGTTGCACATCCTAGGTATGTAAACAGTGACCACTTTCAGCCCTTCAGCATTTACATATTTTCACTGTCTGCCACATTAACTTGAGTTTTTTCTATATTCACTTTTGGTAGCCTTCAATTGCACATATGAATCACCTTTTTTACTCCTGTAGTTTATACAACTAATTGCATTTAAATTGGCATCCATAGGAGACTAGATACAGCAGATTTTACAAATTACTGTTGGGCAAACGTGAACCAAAATTGTAATATTTCTTTAATACAGTACTAAATTGTCTTTGCTAAAAAGTGCATTGTTGAAACTCATTAAACACGTTCTCCCCACCATATAAAATTCCTTGTTTTACACAGATGGAAAAACACTACATATACAGGTACTCTTTATTGTTCCTGGCAGAAAGTTTATTTGCAGTATTTTTCTGTCAATCAAAGCAATATTATTGGTTTGTTTAATTATATTAATGGTCTTGTGCCTATATTTTTTTCATAGTTACTTTCTTCCTAATTCTAGCCATTATTGCACCTAGTCTGTCTCTCTAAAGCACTAAAGCTTTTCCTATACTATGAGGTATCTACATGTTTATATTGTATTATGTAGATAGCAGCCCCAGTGAATACATACAAAGAGGTGTACATTCAGCCATTACATAAGACATAAAGGACTTTCTTTTATTCAAAACAAATAATACATAGCCTGCATTATAAAGTGAGTCAGAATAAATTAATGGCCTGTTAACCTTTAAACTAATTCTATGCTAGAAATTGCTATCACATGCACCACTGACTATTAGGAAGCTATAATGAATGGTAGGTCTACTCCCAAAGGCTTAATGTTCTAGCAAATACTGTAATGGAATATTACAAAATAACTGGTAGCACATACTATGCCGTCTAGAAATTAATATCTAGACCTGGATATCCAGGAACACCTCACTTCACTTACAACCACAAGTATTTGACACGTTATATTATAGCTTGGATGGTACCCGTCATTTGTCTGTCTTTGAATAATAAGCTGCGTGAATTCCATTCTTAGCATACAGCTGTTTACTTCTACAGGATCACTGAGATATCATCCTCTTTTTATAAGGTGACTAGAAACTGCCGAATGGTTTAGCATTCCCAAGCCGGTAATAGTTAAAGCCGCCTAGTTGGGTTCTTGGCCGCCTCTATCTCAAACTGAAGGCCAAGTGTTCAGTAAGGAAAATATTTGTTCTCTAAAGGCTTCCCTCAGATTAATTGGATTTCTGTGGCTTTGTGAATACTATTCTGTTAGCTGGAAATCATTACTATATTCTGACTAGTGGATTAAACTGGTTGCATGTGATTAGATCAATTTGAAAACTCACAAACCTGTCTTTGTTAGTATCCTGGATTTAATGTACCACAGTGTCTTGGACTCTGTTAGCTTTCTACCTGTACAAAAGTATAAGGTACAACAAATAAATTTGATTTATTTGTTGTAGCTTTTATAACAATCTTTATCTTTATAACAATTGTATAATCAATCTTTTATAACATAAAGATGCCATCAAATATATTCATAAATATACATGATTCTAGGAATGTCTGATACTCGTTATGGTTAGTCAAAGCGTCGTACACTTTGGTGCCCAGTAACAACATTTAGCACTTTACCATAATTCATCATTCTGATTCACTATTTAGCTCAGTCAGTATACAGTGCTGTGCAGTAATAGCAACATTTGCATAATAGATGATTTAGATGCCTCAGAAATTTCCATTCTCATTCTTACCTTATTTCCCTAATTATAAATTTAGTAAAAATAATTGTGTAAATCTGTCTTCTATCAATTATCACATTCTGCATATATTTTACTTATGTTTTTGATTACTCCAGGCCATAGTTCTATATGGCACAGAGCACAGAAATTCATCTTTTGGTCCTGCTCTTAAAATAATGATTCAAGATTAAATCATTATTTAATCTTAATGATTTAAAATTTTTATTACATTTATTACATTGTAAATGTAATAAAAATGACTACTTTAGAACAGTGGTTCAGCCCCATTTTGTAGTACTCAAAAAGAACTGAGAGTTCCCTGCCACACACACATCTTAGACCTGGATATCCAGAAACACCTCACTTTGCTTAATCACCTAATCACATGCAAAATATGACTGACCTGATGGTTAGTCTCAACTATCTGGTAATCACTGCTTTAGAATATGGAATTTGATAGAGCAGATAGTTGACTAAATACAGAATTTAAAATGACTGTAGACTGAATTGCTTTTCACAAGTATATTTTCTGTTTGTATCGTCAGTGGCAGATGAAGTGTCGCTGACTGGTAACCGAGCAGTGCAGCGAGTTCGTTTACTGGATGAAGTAGACAGTCCTGGGTCATCCTCTGCACTACTTGATGATGACCTTATACAATATTACCAGTTCCTTGCTGAAAAAGGAGATGTACAGGCTCAGGTTAGTACAGTATATTTCATACATCAAAGGAAAAAACTTTTTTTTGTGCGTGGATATTTTTTATCATGACTCTTGTGTATTTTTAAATTTACATAAAGTATGTTGTAACAAAAGTTGAATACAGACAGTCCCCAAACTTAAGAATACATTCCAAAAAGACAAGACTGTGTCAGTAGTTCTTAAATTGAAAGCAGATTTCCCCTAGGAACAATATTATAAATGGGTTATGCACTCCCAGACCACCAAATGCCTGTTTATAAAAACCAAATCTTTAGGAACAAGTAGTATAAGAAACATTGCTTTTTATTTACATTGATATAATTGCCCTGCTTGTCTGATTTAATAGTTTTTGAAGAGGGAAGAGGTATGGTGATTAGAGGAGGAGGTAGGAAAAGGTATTGTTCACAGTGGCACTGGTGCATCACCACCACAGTTCCTCTTCTTATCAGCCAGTCTTGAAGATTTTGTCCTATATACACAACTGAAATGATGCATTAGTAGCACTGTTCGTTATGTGGAGACTTTGGATATCAAAACGGATTGTATATCAAAGCGGGACTAAAATAGGAACTTTGAAGCCATTCGTAAGATCGAGCATTCCTACGTCGGGAACAGTGTACATGTAATTTAGGTCCCTGACTAATTTCTTATATTTATAATAATATCCATTGCATTGGTAACACTTACAGCTTTGTATTGAGTTAGTTTGACCATATTTTGTTAGATAATTAACACTTTAAAAATGTTACATGCTTTCTGTATTTTTATACTATATCAAAATAATTTAAATTATTTTTCTTTGAATATTTGAAAAGAACACATCTTAGAAATACAGTACAATACAAATGTAGAAAATATGATGGATATCTATCAGTGAGATGATAAAATTAAAAACATTCTTTATACTATTTACCTGTAGAACATAGGAAATAAGTAGGTACAAATACCCTCTCTCTCTCTCTCTCTCTCTTACCATTATGCTAATTGGATTTTAAGAATTTTCATGGATGTGCTCAACACTTTAGTGAGAGGTTGGATCTGTTGGTGAGCTGTTGAGTATTGTTAAACAAAATTCTAACGCTGATTTTCAAGTAAACACTCATTTATATCTAATGTACCAAATTAAGTGCTGTTCATCTTACACTTAAGTTTTCTTGTAGCCAGATTTAATACATAAGTCAATTTGTATTTTATAAGGTTGGGCTTGGGCAGCTACATTACCAAGGAGGACGAGGAGTTGAGCAAGATCATCAGCGTGCTCTCAATTATTTTGTCCAAGCTGCAGAAGCAGGCAATGCAAATGCTATGGCATTTCTCGGCAAGGTAAAAAAAATAATATTATGTGAATTCTAGTAAGCTTTAGTGGTCTGCTTTGGTTGACAGATTAAGAGAATTTGTAATGATGGGGAGCCCCCCATCTTCCTAAATTTGTCCCCACTAAAGGCAAAATCTAAAGTCCGGCCCATATGTCTGTGTAGAATGTTTAAGAATTGAGGCAAAAGTAGCTAGAAGGGGGGTGAAAAACTGTAACGAAGGTTTGTGGTGTGGTGGGTTTATGCGAGATAAAGCTAAGAGTAAGCGAGATTGAAGAGTGGTACAGTATCAAGTAAATATTGCAAGACTGGGAATGAGAGGTAAATGAGGCGAGTATGGTAGGAGTAAGGCTCAAAATTAATAATTTAATAATACAGTAGTTAATAATACTGCAATAATAATTTATTGTGTTGGGGAACAGGTAACACCCCCCCCTTCCCCCCAGAGTTGAATTACTGACCCCACCCAGGATGTAACACCACAACACATTGACTAACTCCTGTCCACCTATTTACTGGTAGATGTATAGGAACATGAGGTGAAAGGAAATGCGCCCAAACATTTCTGTGCTGCATAGGGATTCGAACTCGGAATTCTCGATTGTGAATCGAGAACGAACCCGACTGTGCTACCAGGAGTACTGTCAAGTACTCTCAAGTTAATAGTAGTATGGATCAACGTATTATTTATTCCATGTCTCGATTCAAGGAGCTCGTACGTCATAATTAACTTTGGGATGTCAAAGAAGGCTATTGTGATTGAATATTTTCTGTGTGATAACAGTAGTGAGAAGGAAAGAATCTTTTCTGTAGTTTGAGCATAAGATTGCTACAGTGTGAAGAACTTGCATAATAAGTGTGATGGGGGTGGTACAGGAGGAGTAGAACACCAGAATATGATGGGTATAAATGGTCTCCTGGGAATATATTAGTCGCTATACATTTCAAGATTTGTGCAATGAAAGAAACTTGTTATTGATACAGCTTAAGAAGTTACATAAGTATTCAATAAGTATTGAAATAATAATAAATCTAATTGCCAATGCTTGTGTAGAAAATGATGATATATGTATGTGATATGTAAGGTAAGAATGAAGGGCACCATATATCAATTATGCATCATCAAGGTTCTAGAGGTAAAATAATACAAATTTAGAACTTGAGAGAAAGATGAAATGGTCAGTAAGTACAAAAAAACAGTTGATAGTAAACTTTGAACAAGACTATGAATGAATGAATGAATGAATCCATATGTGAGGGAAGGGTGGTCTTTACATTGCATCCTGCAGCCACTTTGGGACCAAATGAAGCATATAATTAAAACAAATGTAATCATTTCATCTCAGGAATTTTAGCCTTTATTACTGTAGATACAATTTTTATGTCATTCTTGTTTTTCCTTAAGCACAGATGTATTTGGAGGGCAGTTCAGTTGTGAAGCAGAGCAATGAGACTGCTCTTAAATACTTCAAACGTGCTGCAGATCAGAACAATGCAGTTGGTCAGAGTGGCCTAGGCCTTTTATATTTGCACGGTCGTGGAGTACCTCAGGACTACAAGCTGGCTCTCAAGTACTTCACACTGGCTGCTGAGCAAGGATGGGTTGATGGACAACTCCAGCTTGGCAACATGTACTTCAGTAAGTCGGTTATTTACCATACCATTATTATATAAGCCAACGTGTTAGGATATGGAGATTAGTATGGTCAGTGTAGAATGGGGTGCTGTGTTTACATGGGGATGCATTCCTGGAGACAGTGTAGAACAAACCATGTAAAAGAGTACTAGGATTTTCAGAAGAAAAATGAAATGCATTCCAGCAATATGAGTTGCTGGATGTAATACATCCACATAAGTTGCTGATGTAATAAGTGAACACACACACAATCACTGAGCAGATGTACAAGCAGACAACCAGAGGTGACAGATGCTGTGACAAAAAATGTAGGTATTACAGCTGTTAAGCGAGGACCTGATGGTTAAACAGAATGATCCACATCACCTTTGCAAAGTGTAAGAACAACCAAACTCTTTGTGCACAACTACAAATACTGTTTTGTATTTCCTTGCTTATGTTCCTAAGAACTATGAATTAAATGGTTTGGAATTTATTAAGCAAAGCCACTGCTGTCCTGAATTGAGTGAAGTCATTTAATGTTACGAAATACACATAATGACAGAAAACACACAGGAAGAATATGAGGAGAAAACACACAGGAAGAATGTAAGGTGTTGTGTGTATAGTACAGTATTGCTACCTAGTTAGAAGAGTGCTCAGTTGTCAGTCACCAAGGATGGCTTGGAAGAGATTTGAGATTTTATGAATCAATCTGCTGGCATTCATGTCAAGCTGGAGGCTTAAAGGCACTCCACCGGTATTTCTTACACAGATGTAACACTGCATGGAGTGCTTGGAAAGTGCCTTGAGGCACTAATGTCAGAATGTTGCCCTGACCAAGTGCAGCTAATTTTGTGCAATAGACACTAGAGTTCTCATTTTAATTACATTTTCCATGTGACTTTTGTATTAAAAGTGTTATAGTTTGTGCTAATAAAATTCGTAGCACTAGTTGATCCTCTTCAGCAAGACATCACTCTAATGATTGTACTGGTAGTAGTAGGCATCCATCAGTCTCGGAAGACTATGGAGTTTCGCTCTGGTTGTCAGTCTGGAGTGGCCTCTCCAGAGCACAAAGCCAGGGGTAGGATATGGGGGAGGAGAAGTTGTAAAAAAACAGCTTCAACTGGATAATTTTTCCTGGAATCTTATCTACCAATTGGTTTACAATGAAATAATTGTAACTACTGTACTTCTAACTACTACTGAGTGAACAGGGATGAACAGTTAAGAGTAAGCATCCAGTTGTCCCTCATTAGACCAGCAGCCGCATGTAGCACTTGTACATCTTGACGCCAATTGAAGTCCCATATTCCTGTAGTTACAAAAAGTTATACATACCTTAAAATACAATCATGTACTTTTATGATTTTTCATTGTTTCAATTAGTTTTTTAATAATTTTATAATTTTTAAATAATTTTTCATTATTTAAATTTTTCATGGCCTCTGCAAGAGACCACTTGGTAACCATATTTTTTTATGAATTACTCTTAATACTGCATATAGAAGATTAGTGTTGGGAAAATGATTGAAAAATAACGTGAATTTAATACCTAGCCGCCGCCTCTCGTCGTATACAGTACACGCATTCATTTAATACAATGTGCTAGGTACACGGATAAATATAGAGTTGAGTGTACTTCTACTGTTTGTGACTGTAACATCCTTCTGGTGGCAAGCATTGATGCAGCTCTTTCCCTTAGGTGGGTTGGGTGTGCGAAGGGACTACAAGATGGCCATCAAGTACTTCAACTTGGCATCGCAATCGGGTCATGTTTTGGCATTTTACAACCTTGCTCAAATGCAGGCCTCGGGCACTGGCATGGTCCGATCCTGCCACACGAGTGTTGAGGTATGTGACAATGGGCGAGGTGACAAATTCCAACATTGTGTAGCACTGAGCTGCAAAAATAGGACATTTTGAGACAGTGTTTCTGGTCATGAAAAGTGGGCCATGACTTAATATTTTTGAGCAAATGGGTATTTCAGACAAGGAATATAGAATAGTGAATGGGTGAGATAAAGATTGCTTTAAATAAATTGTTGGTGAAAAATAAAAAATGTTGTATTTGCAATATAGAAATTCTTTATACAATAGTAAGTGATATTCAAGAGAAGTTTAGTTATTCAGAGGGCAGTATCCTATTTTTCAGTTATTCATATTTTATCCAGTTTTAAGTAAAAAACAAAAACATTAAGTGTGATGTAGATTTAAAGCGGCATTAACTCAATGACTAGTAGGCTAGTTAGCTATATGACTGCCTGCTATCAAATAGTAAAATGTGTCTTTCCCCATTGGTGTTTTTGTGTTTGGTTTCATAAAAAAAAGGTTTTATTGTTTTAATGTTATATTGTGATACATATATTAGTTAACATGAATTTATCTGCACATACCAGTGTTCTACATGTTCTGTGATATAAATAACATTATTGACAGCCCAGTGCATCATTGGACTTGAAAAAACCATGGTAAAAATATTAAAAATACGAAGACAATAAAATACATTCAATGTGTTCTTACAAATTCGTATGAAATGTGAGAGGCTAAGTTAACCTTGGATCAGTGGTCACAAGATATAGTAATGTTATGCAGTAGTGTGAAATAAAATATCCATAAAAATATGCTGCTTTTCTAAATCATGTTATTTTCCAGTTGTTCAAGAATGTGGCAGAACGAGGACGTTGGGGAGAAATGCTGATGGAGGCTCATGCTGCATATTGGGACTCTCGTCATGCACAGGCTCTAGTTACCTACATGTTGTTAGCAGAACTAGGCTATGAGGTTGCCCAGAGTAATGCTGCTTTTATTCTCGATCGACACGAAACTGAACTCTTTAAACAAGGTGAAGGCTTTGCAAGAGCACTGATGTATTGGGGCCGTGCTGCGTCTCAGGTAAGTGTTGTTCACACATCCATCTTATTAATATTATGTTTGCTTTTTCTGAGCTATGACATTGGTTTCCTCCCTGAGGTAAGAGCTAAGTGTCCTTTGACAAGGTGATGCTAAAGTCAGCAGGATGGCATACTGACACCAACACCTCACAATGCTTTTCATACAACAGTATTCCTGTGGGGTACCATTAAAGGTACTTGGGAGTTATTGGAGAATACTCAGTAATAAACATAATAATCTTGCCTCCCCCCCCTTCCTCCCTCTCTCCCTCATTTTCCTTCCCCATTTCTTCCTCCCATTCCTCCTCTCTCCTCCCTTCTGTCTCTCCCTTCCTAACTTCCCATTCCTCCTTTCCTCTTCTAAATTTTTTCATCTCTCGATACCATAGCCTGTGCACATTACCCACCTAAACTCATTATACTGTACATTATTCTTTACAGTGCACAGTTCTCATATATTCCCTATACTGCTGGCACTACACTAACCACTGCATCTCCCACCACTGATCACATCACACTCTTCGTATCCTGAGATATGGTATGCCAGCCCGGCAATACCCCTTGATCACATACTATCAACTTTTAGTAAAACCTTAAGATTCATCTCATATTTCTTGTATTTTACTAGCGTATTGTTGTAAATTCCTGCATCATGGCACCTACCAAGGATTTTGGCCTTCATTATCTACTGTGTGTGTTCCTGGAAGTAGCACAAGTATGTGGTAATAATGTTCAGGTTGGTGTTTTACCGAAAGAAGAGTGGGACAAGTGGATAAATTTCAGAGACGTCTGAAGTGCGACCCAATTTTACGTTTTCATATATTTTCATATTTATAAAATTCTGATCAGTTTGCACAGCATTTTGCAGAAATACAACCACTGTGAATATTGGGTGACTGCTGTACTGAACTGTACTTGTGTAAACAAGCACACACCATAGGAATTAATCATTTGATCAAATGTTAAACATTGTAGATGCACAGAATAAATGTGTTGTATCTATCACTAATCTGATGTCGTCTTTTATCTTAGGGTTATGCTGTAGCTCGGGTAAAGCTGGGAGACTACCATTACTATGGCTATGGTACCTCTGTTGATTATGAAACTGCTGCTGCACACTACAGGCTGGCATCGGAACAGCAACATAATGCTCAAGCTATGTTCAACTTGGGATATATGCATGAACAAGGCTTGGGACTCAAGCAGGTAATATAGTACTATGGTGCATGGTTTACTGCTGCTAAAAACACACACTGGTGTCGTTAACAGTGTGTTTCTGTATGTGTGCACAATATACTGTTCAGTAAACTCATGATAGTCATTAATGTGGGACTAGGCAATGCTGCATAATCAATTATTCCTTTTGAAATATTGAATTAGCAGATGTCATTACAGATGTTTTTTATTGCATATTTTGAAATACAGTACAGGTTTATAAAATTAATTTTAAGTAAAAAAAGAATGCATTTCCTTTCACAATTTGCTCCAGAAAACTTGTTCTAACATATAGATATATATTCATTATTTGCCTTACCTTAATTTGGTATGTGCTTTTAATTTTTGTATAACATTACCAGATATTATTACAAGTATTTTTGATAAATAATATTAAAATGTCGAGTATGCCAGACATCATATTGGATTTAATAGCTTTTTTTTCATGTGGTTTAGTATTGGGAGTGGATAATACAAAGTTTATTTTATGATATTTTTAAGATAAGTGACATAAAACATGTGACAAGGACTGAGAAGAGCAGGTTAGGTATTGTGGCAAGAGGGCAAAAGACATTCAAGGGGAACTAAGGTGTTGGATGACTTGAGCTTCCATGCATGTTGCCCTGGTGCACAAGAGGTATTGCCCTTGGTGGCTAGCTGGATGTTCTAAGGGATGGGCTGTGGGGGGTTTTCCTGTGGGATCTATACTATACATTTTATGTATAGAATCTAGACATTGTTGGTGTTGTACCTCTGACAAGTGTACTTATGTTGATATGTAGATTTTTGCTAAACTACTGATGTTACAATCTTTCACCATTTAGCATACCTTGCCTCTCGAACAACCTTGGCAGACCCACAGCCCCCCTCCCCCCAACCTTTATAATCTGCTTGTATTGCATCTTCTCAGACCTGAGAAGGCTTTATCTCATGGAATTGTTATTTACAGATCAAGATTTCTTTCAATTTGATGTGTAAAGTACCACTGTGTACTTAAATCTGTAGTTTTTCATGTTAATTTGGTTACCAGCATTTAAACGAGCTGCTCACACTTAAATTATATCAAATTATCTTCTCCTTAACTTTGCCCATACACAGTCTTCCAGAACGTAGAGCACTGGCAGGTAATTTTGTACACTCAGTAGGATCTTAAACTTCAAATGATTTCGGCTTGTAAATTTTAAATATTTTTTATAATTTTAGTTATGGAGGTTACAGTGCAGTTACTTCGTGCACTACCCTTCTCCGTATAATGAGAAATAACACATATAATGGATAGCAGCTTGAAGGGGAATAAGGTTTCATATCCTACAATATCAATATCCTACAATATCAACTACAATATTATACTTAGGTGCTGGACAAATATTTTAATGTTAGACATGCATAATTTTTAGAAATGGTTCTGCATGATGCCATCTAACTACGCTTGAATTTTCACAGGATATGCATCTTGCCAAACGTTTCTATGACATGGCAGCAGAAGCTAGTGCCGATGCCCAGGTGCCAGTAGCACTGGCCCTAGCCAAGCTGGCTTTGCTCTTCTCCTTCAAATATTTTGAAGATGTAAGTTAAAACAATCTGAGGGAGATTTACTTATTTACTTAAATGGCAATAGTTAACCTTAAGTGTTTGTGATAACATTTTGTGTGTAGAATTAGACATGTTCAAATATCTTTGGAGTCGGGGTTCGTTCTAGGTGTTCATCTGGATGTTCATCTTGGCTCTACCTGGAGGTCTCTTGGTTTCAACACCCATTTTTGTTGAGCTTTGGCATGTGGCATGCTGTAGTTGTCCCATTGTCCTGCATTTCTTTTCTGCAACCCTCACCAAATTTTTCTGTCTAGCATTTTCTTCTTATTCAGTACTGCAGGCCTCTTCTACCAAGGTGCAACTGTGAGTTAGCTCATAGAACTACTGAGGAGCACCTCTAAGAAATCAAGCATTGAATGTAGTTACACATCCCCTACTGGTGGAGTCCTCGGTAGCTCAACATCCCTTTCCTGTTCCCTTCTTCTCATGGGGTGGAGGAGATCAGTTTGGGTGACTTGTAAGTGGGCTGGGCTGACTGGGACCCTGGGTAACCTGTACGGCTAACTGGTAGTTGTCAGGTATATCACGGTTAAGGTGTTTATATGGCGACAATAATTGTTTGCCATGTTACCTGAGGATACTGATTTTCTTCAAGCAGTGGCTTGTTTTCTTGCAACTGTACTTTCTGGTGAGTTTTTTATTTATTAATATTATTTATTTTGTGTTGATCTCTGATCCCAAGACTTACCTTGACCCTAGAAAGCCAGATTCTTCTTCTTGATGGTATGTGCAGTTTGTCTGAAGGGTTTATCCTCCCAATGACTGAAGCCTGTTGAAGAGGCATTTCATTACGGTCAACAAGACTTCTTACATCCTTTATTTTAGGCCAGGTGCAAGTGGTTTGTAAGAAAAGCATAGATGTGTCAGGCACGGTACAACTAGTCACATGAAGTGAAAGGGTGTTTCTGAGGGTAACTGCTGGAGTTGTGATGCTCGTTTCATCCGTGATGCATTATAATGTGAATGATAAAACTAAGTGGACAAGTAATTTTGTAATATCTGTAACCTTCTTTCATGATATTCACTTACTGTCTAGGCTGATGCCTGCCCACCCCATGGAAGTTGGAAACAGGATAATAAAAATGTGTGTACTGTACAAATAATTGAGTGCTACTGATGTAGATATGGTTTTTGCTTATCCCTGTTGTAAAAGTTACTATAACTTTTTAATGTGATCATTTATGCAATCATTAAACACTTGGAGAGTCCACTGTGTCATTCTTTGAGAAAAAGAAGTTTGAGAGATAAACACCTGCACGTAACAACAATGTCATGCATGTTGGGGGCCGGGTGGGAGGGTGCTTATACACTGTTTATACTGTTAATAATTACAGTATCTCATACACACATTTAGAAAATATATTGACTTATTTTCATTGTCTCGGATACTTTTGATATCGTTCGCCTTATGTGTTTTTGTTCTCGTATTGGCATCCTTGGTGATATTTAGCGCCCTCTGATTATTCCGCACATTTGATGGTGCTACATAGCCTTCCCGGTTTGGTTCCTTCTTTTGATAATTACTTACTTATTTTCATTGTTCAGTTTGAGTGGCTGCACTTGGAAGAGAACAGTGTGGAGGAAGTTCTTGGCCCAGACTGGGACATCTACCTCATGGTACTTCTCTCAGTGATCATCGCCACTCTCATCCTCTTCAGACGACCCCCACCTCCCATGGCTATGTGAAATGTAGAGTTCATGAATTGTTTTAAACCTGAAGTTTGTTTTAAACACAGAAGTTAAAAGCAAAAGAAGATATGAGGATGCATAAAATATACAATTTGTGATAGGTTATTTCTGAGTGAATCCTCTTTAATATTTTAATGTAGGAGAATTTAATGAAACAAATTCTTAGTAGGAAATGCTTTGGCATACAGGTAATGTATGCTGGTGCAGTATACCTGCAGTGGTCCAGGTATGGTGGTTATATGTGAAGTGAACATAACATGCATCTCCACAGTGTTATTCAATAGAGAAATAAATATCTATGTACCAATGCAGAAAGAGTGTAAAGAGCTGCTCCCTGTGCCCAGCCATGGCCCCAGGTTTATATTCAAGACAATATTAGCCCATCAGTGTAAGACATGTTATAATGTTTCTTGTATTGGGGATAATCTGGAGTTGAGTTGGGTTGGTGGTGGAATTTAAAATTAATGTTTTTGTATTTTTGGGTGGATTTTTTTCCCCCCAAGTTTAGGATGGATGGGGAAGGAAGGAAGGGTCAGGTTAGGTTCATCGTGCTAAGTATTGTTTGGGCATACTGCGTTTGTGTCCTGTCCCACTGGTGGTGGGCAGTTTGATAACTATACAGACACATGTAGAGAGAGAGAGACACACACACACACACACGTGCGTATAGTACTGTATATTTATTATTTAATTGGTTGTGTATATTTTGCTTGTGTTGATTGACATATGATACCCAGTTCCCTCACACCTATAAATAAAGACATATCTTCCAGAAGGGGCCCCAAGAGACAACACATTATAAAATATATATATATATATATATATATATATATATATATATTTTATTATAATATTATATCACACACACAGCTATATATAAATACACATAATAATTAATTATACTACTATGATAAACATCTAAGCTGGACTCTGATTACAGTATAGTTAAAGTTGGGAACTTGGAACAAATATTATAAGTATATTTTGAACATATTGTGCAAAATTTTGATGAAGGTATATGCACTATAATGGATTACTCTTATGTTAATTTTGATTTGACTTCTGACTTCTGGGAAGTTTTTTTTTTTCTTTAAAGGTTTTGTCTAATTTATAACAGCAATAGCAGCATACTCTAAAAGTTAGCTATCATTTTCTAGTTTATGGGTGGCGTCACGTTTGCTATTATGAGAGATGTTTTGTGCAGAAGTGATCACTTAATACGAGTCCAAGAGAAAACTGTGGTAAGTATATTACTGGCTGTTGGACAGCCTTGTGTAGGGCTAGGATGTACCTCAAACATTTGCATCATCAGCCAAGGTTCATGTTTCAGCTCTTCCACATTTCCAGGGCATTTTCTTCCTAAATTTTCTACACTGAAACTACTAGTCACTAAAGTAGGTCAAAGCTATCTGATGTGTATTTTATTTTATTTTTTTTTCCCCCCATCTTGTCCACAAATTGTGACATGAAGTTAGTTTATAGTAGATCTCTTTCACCAGTGTGAGTTTGATGTAAAATGTTTCCTCATAATTTTTCAATGACTAAATGTAATTCCCATTGTATTATGCTCAACTGTTAATACTTGGCAAATACATGAGTGTATGGCACATTTGCAGAAATAGTTATACTGTAGTAGTTTATTTTGCATCATCATAAACTCGCATGAGTGTAAGTGATGTGAAGTATGATTGTCATGACTGATGAAAAGCAACATTAAAGGAATATTTAAGCACTGTTTTCAATAAAAGAATTTAAAAGTTTTATTTTGTGTATAAAAAAAGTTCAGAGAATTTAAATTGTATATGAACTTCAAGCAAAGACCATATACACTATATAGATTGGCAGGTAATTTCTAATAAAGTATAAATAAATCATAGTTGGTATACTTATATGTTTTAATTTAACCTTTTGTCATTTATCCACTTTCATGTAATTATATGTCTATATTTTTGTCTTATGAATCACGGTAGTGGATTTTGAGTGCTTTGATCCCAGCAGGATCTGTTGGCAGGTTCACACACGGCTGAGGTAAAAGTGGGATCAAAGCTGTCTGGCATTGCCACCCACGTGTGTGTATGTTGACTTAAATATCACATATCATTCTTGATGATCTGATAGGTGTATTGTTTAGGAACAAGTGAGCCATCTTGCTTCAATTTGTTTAGATTCTTCCCAGTTTGGTGCCTTCTTTTGATAATTAATTACTTGTTTAGATTCTAGTAAAGATCACCAAAATTGTCTGGCAGAGTGCAAGTGTGGGTACAATCATTCTTCCCTCTAATCTTTCAGTTGGAGTGTGATTTTGAAGACTGCCACAATATTAAGACTTGAGAATACCAGAGCACTCTTGTACAGGCGGACATGTTCACCTGTCCCCCTCATGGTAAGCATGCTAACTCCCCCTCTGTATCAATTAAATTGTATTTGACAATCTCTCTCTCAACCTCAGTTGTCTTTGGAGGTGTGAAATGTACTGCCCAGGAATAGGTTTTCTTCCTGATCAAGCGCAATACTTGCCGAAGTTTGGCCATGGGGCTAAGGCTTGCAGAAGTTAAATACATACTGCACTGTATTCTTTTTCCCCTTTTTGTGGCAAGTAATTATAAAAAACAGCACCAAACTAGGTAGACTGAAGCACCATCAGTGTCGTTCAATAATCAAAATGCGCTAATTATCACTGGATGCAAATACGGGAGCAAAGGAAGATAAGGAAAGCCATGTCAGTAGTATCAGACTTGCCAAGAATTTTGTTGAGGACATTAGGAAAGCAAGTCATATACCCTTCAAAATCATTCTGAAAATTGGAACATCCCACAAGGAATATTTAGTCATGCATTTATGCATGACTCTAAATGAGACAATAAGTAGCAGTGTTGAGTTTCATTAAATGACCATGAGTTGAGCATCTATGACCAATATGTAACCTAGCCAAAGCTGTTTTCCCACTCTTCTTCCCACAGTAGTAGGAGGAAGGCCAAGGGGATTGGTTACTTTTAAGAGTACGCAGTCTGTTACCTGCAACCCAATGGCCTCGGGTTGAGGAATGACTGACTGACGGTAGAAATCTGAATAAGGAATGCCTTTTTTGGACATTGTTGAAGTGCAGACAGCCTCCTTGGCAGCAGTATCCACACATTCATTAAAGGTTATACCAATATAGTATGGCTAGGAACCCAGGAAAACTAAACTGTCTTAAAGTTGCTAGAGATAAGAAATAGCCAGTGTTGAATTTCATCTACCACAGATGCCTAGGGTTAAATGACTCCAGGGCCATGAGAGCACTGCAGAAGACAACCATAATGACAAAGGAATGTTGATATCAGGAAAGCTATTGACGAAGTGCATGCAAGATTGCATAAACTTCAGCCGTGAAGGTGCTAGGATTGGGAGGCCGGCAGCACAAATAGGTGTGGTCAGGAAAGACAGTGGAGTAGCCTACACTGTTGACAGACTTAGACCCATCTGTGAAGATGGCAATGGAGAATGAGTGTTAAAGAAAAAGGTGTTTCATAACTGTAGGAGGGGTAGAAGCTTTTACTATGTGGGTTGCAAAACTTTGTAAGTGGGACTCTGCACTGGGGCTTTTGTAGCAAGTCTGGCCATATTAAGTACTTTGATAGCTTGATAAGATATCATGAAGTTTACTTGCACAACTGTAATAATTTACTGAATTACTTCAATTCACTACATTAGTTGTGGTGATCACCTTTGTTCTCATGGTCTCGTGTTGACTTTAAAATGAGACTGTCTATTCTGTATCTCAAGCACAAGGACAGTATTCCCTTTCCCGATGCAAGTCTTCAACTTGGTGGCTGGGTCTCTTTACATACATCTTATATGTTTGCATTGCTAGTCAGAAACACTGAACTGTCTTTCCTAACAGTTCCCTGCTCTGGTATTGTTTGTGTCCTCACCACTGAGATGCATCATTCTCCTACCCTTGTAGTCTGCTGCTAGGAGTGTCCCTTCTCCCCAGCGCCCTTCCCTGACTGTCCTCTGTACACTGTCCAGTCCCTTGCCTCTCAGTACTTCCATTGGTAAAGTGGACCCCTTCTGCACTTCATCTCTACTCTGCCTCTTAGCCCTTCTCCTACCTCAATCACAGCCAACATCCACCCACATCCCCACTGGCCCCAACATTCATCTATAAATAGTGTCTGACACTAAACATTGCTGCCAGTGCCCATCTCGGCCCTATGTTCTTATTTTCCAGCCAAAAGCAAACTGTATCCCTCCTCCTTCCTGCCCTAAGGAAAAGAAGCACTTTGTTTCTGACCCTTTTGTTCTGCTTGCCCTTGATATAGATTCTGACCATTTATGCCTCCACCTGCTCCCTAAATTGAATCTGTCTGCATGACTGAATTCATTCCCTTGCCATTCTTTTATTTACCTGTACCACCTGACCTTAATTTCACAATTTCCAATCTTTCTTACCTCTAATTTTTCTACTTGTTCCTTTGCTTAACACTCAAGAATCCAGAGCAGCTACCTGTCCACACACACTTACTGCACTTGTACACATAGTCCTCATGGTCTGCTTTGAGGTACACTGTTTTTTTTTTTTTTTTTTTGTTTTTTTTTTAACTTCAAACCTAATCCTTTTTCAGGCTATATTTGGTCCTGGGTCTATTTCTAGTTAAATTTTATAAAGGCTTAACCCTTATATGTAAATTTCACCCCAAATTAAAAAATTATATAACTTCACCACTCAAGTACCAATCCATCACACTCGTAATTTACAACGTATCTATTTTCAGGGTCAGAAATGTTGCTTTCCTAATGCCCCTTCAAATTGTTCCTCGATAAAATAGCAAACTTGATAGTCGGCATCGCTTTTGCATCTGTTTGCTCTCATATTGGCATCCTGAATGATATATAGGAACTTTCAAATACTGACCCATGTGGTGCTATATAGCCCTCCGGGTTTAGTTTTCTTTGTTATTTTATAAAAATAAAACTTTGATAATTACTTATTTGATTGTATAATTTGTTATTTATAATAGCTAAACAAATGGCTAAAGGGGGTTAATTACACTGCAGAATAAATTACACATTTTATTTTTTAACCATTTTCCTTAAAAACAAGCAAATCTATGTCAACAGTATCTGATCATAGAATTTAACTATCTAAATGCAATAGCACCTACATTTCACCTTCAGCATGTGAATATTATTTATCACTATGTTACAGTTAAAAGTTCATTAGTAATGTTCTTTTAGTAAATCAATTCCTAATAATACCATGTCCATTACTTACATTAAAATCACACTTTCCCATGTTAAAACTAGAGAGGAAACATTTCTCCAAGCTTATATTTACCTGTAAATGATGCAATATTTTACTATTCAGATGCAAAAAGAAAATGAAAGCTATGAAGACTATTTCACCTTGTGTACACAAGAAGGTTTCTAATATAAAAACCACAACTTTTTGTGTAAATATAAATGAAGCTTCACTTGTAAGGAAATGCCACCATGATGCACATTAACAAAAATGTATTGGGTATAAAACCCAACAGCAAGTACTTCTTATGTTACATATTCACAGCCCAAACATCCATTCCTATATTAACTATTTAATCTGTATAGCATCTATTCCCTTTAGAAATCAACTATATACCTCATTTGAAAATTATTCCAACGTAAATGGTGAGACAAGCAAATAAAACAATTTTTTTAACAGAAATTTGAAGACAAAAGCATGAACACGTCAACGTCTGAAGCAAAGTCATTAACTGATCACTTGCTCTGTTCAGCTCTCGGCTATTCTCATGCACTACCACACCTCGGGTATTCTTCCAGTTCTCAACAGATTTGTTATTCACTGAAATTTATCTTATTTTTTTATTAAAGAAATTAAGCAATGATATTACTTAACAGTAGCAAAGCAGTATATAACAGATACATTCTTGGGTTGCAAAAACCTATGACATTGCATGCCATGGACTTTAGTCCTTATTATTTATTCGGAATGTTGGGTTATTCATTGTACTGTTGAAAAAATCAAATATAAAATAATAAATTGTCCCATTGAATTCAAGCTATGAGAGGGAACAAAGCATTAATTATATATTCATGAAAAATGTATAAAGCCAATCTTAATTAATGACAGCATACAACTTTCCACATATAAAGTGCTGGAGATAGAACAATCTAAGTTGTTGGTATAACACACTAAAATTTCCATGTATTTAAAAATTTATTACCTGAAAATTGCCCCACCAACTAACAATGCAACATTTAAGGTCTTACAATAACAAAATTAAGATGCCAATACAGAGCACCACTTGGTTTCCGAACCCCTTGGAGACGAGACCCGTCGGTTATCATTTAAGTTCGTAAAGGAGAAATAGAGGGAAAAAATAAACTAGAAATGTAAAAAGAAATTTTTCCAAAAAATTTATGAAAAAACTGTAGGGGAAGAAATAGACAGGTTCATAGCATAAATGCGACCGTATTTTGTTTGTACTCGCCAATAAGTGAAGTCCTGATCCGCTTTATAAAAGTCCTTAATTGTTCCTAGCTGATTATTAACCTGCCAGCCAGCCCAGGCCGGAAGGCCCAGGCCAGCCAGCTCAGGCCAGCCGGCCCAGGCCAGCCAGCCTAGGCCGAGTGTGTTAGGCTTATCTTCGGGAGTGAGCCGGTCTCTCCCCCACCACCGACAAACCACTCCCCACCCCTACATCCCATACTCTCAAAGGTCACGCAGTTCAACTCAACATCCATCCATCCCTCCCTAATTCTCCCATCCTCCCTCACAACTTTCCTCCCTTCCTGCCTACCTCCTATCATCTCTTCTTACCTCCCCCTCCCTCTCATTCCCACTAATTCTCCCCCTCTCTCATATACTGCCTCCCACCTAAGCTCCCCCCATCCATCCATCCATCCACCCACCAGTCAGCCATCACTGACGCAATGCGTGCATTTTTAGCCGACATGTTGCACAGATGTTCCTTGATTGTGCAGTTATGTAAAATAAAATCACAGAATGAACACTCTAGCCTCGTGACAAATCAAAATAATAGCAATAATAGGCTGTGAATCTGGGAAGTCACAGGGTAGAAGGCACTCTATTGAGTGGTGGCGCCTAACACAATCAGGTGGGCAAACTGAACCATCTCCCACCACGGGCTGGCGCGAGGTTTGGCAGATCCCTTCCTACCCGAACTTTGTTCGTGTAGCATGACTCCCCAACCCCAATCGAGAAACTGGAAGTTTCGGATAACTAAAGTTCGGAAATCAAGTGCTGCTCTGTACTTATTTCCTGAAATATTTATATAAATTGCTTATATATGTATACATAAATGTATAAAAATAACTAAATAATGTTAATCACTAAGAGAATTTGAAGATATTTTAATTGTGCATTTCTGGTGGTAGGAATACCATTTTATCCATATCTAGAGTTTTGCATTAGATGCTGGGGAAGCAGAGATTGCAGATGTCTTTGCCTTCACCCTGTTCAGAGCTTCACGAACACCATTACCATACTCTGGAGAAACCTGTGAGAAGATGTTGATAGCCCTTTCTTGCAGAAAATCTTGTGCATTCACCAAGTGGTTAGCAATGTTCTCCACAAGATTCTTACGGCCCTCGTCGTTTAGAATCTATTGCAATAAAATAAAAAATTATGCCAATGACAGATGTGGTAAATGCTATCCAAAATATTTTATTCCCCAAAAATTTAACGTTAAACAAAAATGGCACCAACAATATATCTGACAATCATTTGGAGAAAACTGTCATCTACAAGAAATTTACAAAGGGGGTTATCCCATGGATAAGCTAAGTAAATGTTTACTCCGATTTTCCTCGCTAAAATTTAGATCCATTTTTGTCAATGTTTCACAAAACTTAGGCAAAATGAACATACAGGTACTACATACTGTACTACAGAGAACCTGCACAAGCAAATATAGTTATGTAAATAGACATTAGCTCTGACAATTGCAGATCACTTCAGAATTCTGTCTCACCTTGTGGTAGAAGTCGCCAACTTGAGTGAAGTTGTCTTCATCGCCACTATTATACCGTGAAACATCACCTGTCACATTGTATTTACACTCTGCAAACCCAGTCTTCTTACAATCAACGGGACCAGAAAAGCTGTTCGGGTAGTAGTTTGGTGCACATTCCTGCAAACAAGTTACACATTATGAAACAATAATAGCTGTAATTTAGGTACTAAAGTATACTGTATTATCTTTATTGATCCTTCCGAGTACACCAAGAGAAATGTAACTTTGACGAGAGTTTTCCGACAAAATTTAGACTAACCTGTCCAAAAGAAAGATTTAGATAGCCTTAACCATCTAATGTTACCTCTTACTTCAGTTTTTAATTTACTCGACTTCATACAAAGACTATAATGGTACAAGCATCTTCATGGTATCTGGACTTTCAAAATTGATATAATGAAAAAAAAATAACATTTTCTGAATAAATAAGAATATCGATATAATCTGAACTAATTACGAACTGGAGACCAACAGTTTCTAAATGTCTTAAAGAAAAAAAAAAAAGAGGAGTCCAGCTGGAAATATAACAAAACACATATACAGTATTCATCTTTCAGTTCATAACTGTCTATGTACATCCGTACATCCATCCATCTATACTTATCAACATTAATCCCATTCTCAACTGACGTAACCTGCAATTACGCAACTGTGAAATGACAAATGTGCAACTTACTTGGTTACTATCAACAGTCATGGGTCCATCACGCTGATAGTTTCTCACACGGGCACGATAGGGACAGTTCACAGGAATCTGAGTGTAATTGGGACCAAGTCGATGGCGATGAGTGTCATTGTAGGCGAAGAGTCGACCCTGAAGCATCTTATCAGGAGATGCTTCAATTCCAGGAACCATGTTGGCAGGTGACATTGCCATCTGTTCCACCTGATGGTATAATAGAAAAATAATGTCTTCCTTTATGGAAAGAGTACAGGCATATAGCAAAGATCAAGGTAAAAAAGCTATTATCATAAATATTATTGCAGTGCAGTAATGCTGAACTGCTTTTCTGAAACAATACAATATGAAACAAATTTATAGATCTGTAGCTACTGGTATGTAAAACGTCTCATAAAAAAATTAACAGTATATCTGGAAAACAGGCCAAACCATACAGCAATATTGTAATGCAAGAAACAATTATTAGACAATCATAAGGAGGTAATTGTTATTACCTCCTCCAATTACCCTATTAAACAAAAGAGCAAAATGATACCTCAGCAAAATAGTTCTTAGGGTTGCGATCAAGGGTAATACGGCCAACGGGAATAAGAGGGAACTCTTTGTGAGGCCAGATTTTCGTCAAGTCGAATGGGTTAAATTTCCAGTTTTCAGCTTGTTCAAATGTCATAACCTGTAAAGATAATCTTATATCAGTTATATGCATCTCAAATATCCACATGAAGCATTATTTACATTTCTATACCTTTTCAGCCAAGTTGAGCATTTATCAAATGATTGTGATAACATCACCATAACCTAACCCAATAACTACACACAAAGCATAATAATCAATCAATCAATTACTCAATCATTATAAGACTGGTACCATGAAGGAATATCTTTACCAGCGATTCTTTTAGAGGCAATACTCTTTATCCTAACCCAAAGTTTGCAACTCATCTCAAGGAAGATGGAAATGTAGTAACAATGACAATGGATGCAAAATTAACATTAAGTAATACACACACACAGTACTGTATATTTCTTACAGTGCCCTCTTCTAGATTGTATATCACTCAATAATCATTAACATGAAGGTGAAGGCAAGATCCAATATAGGTGAAGTGCATTAAAACATTTTTTGGGTGCAACCTACATCCTTTCTCAAGGGGCTGTGAACATTGTACTGAACAGGATTCTAGGAGCTTGCATATATGTCTGATAGTGCCTCGTGTAGTCCATCATTGGACACCGTTATGACTATACTTCCCAAGGATCTACCAAGGGATGCCAAAGTTTTAGATGAATGCTCAATTGTCATGGTTTCTGGGAAATGTGGGCAGGAGGCCCACAAACATTATCCCCACTCGGAGCACCACGAGGGCTGTGCTTATATAAATTAATGAGACGTTAATTTACCTTCTTTAAGAATAATTTTACAGTTAATCAGATCTACTTTACTAAGATTTATTGCCCTTTACTGTCTATAGAATATATAATTACTCCTTTTATTAGGCATCTCTGATATTTGAGCAGTTATATTGTACACAGTTTTAATAATAGAATTCAATAGTAGAATTGTATACAACTGCTTAAATATCAAATAGATTCCTAACACAAGGGGTAATTATAGATTCTATACAGACAGTAAAGGACAATAAATCTTTTAGTAAAGTGAATCCGATTAACCATAAAATTATTCTTAATAAAGCAATATTACTTAATTTACCTTCATTAAGAATAACTGGCTGCATCCAAAAATTTGGTTTTAATACACCTACACACATATTCAGTCTTTCCTTAACCTACAATCAACCATTACAGCACTGTAGCAAGTTCTTCCACTTATTAACATGTAATACGAAGACAATCGGAGCAAGCAATACAGCAGCATTTTAAAACAGTGAATCTGAAAACATTAATTTAAAAATCTACAAAATGGGGATATAAAATTCTCATGCAAAAGAAGTATGCAGCTTCGACATGTATATATATACACACACACACACACACACACACACACACACACACACACACACACACAGAGTCAAGGTATATACAGCATTTTAATCAGTTTATGAATTTGATGTCTCAAGAATCGGATACATGCACAAGTGCCTTTTTACTTAGGGTAGAAAAACATATGAGAATAATCACTAAATGAAGCACTGACCATCAAGGTATATAAATTATTGGATGCAATTGGTAATGGTGCAGGATGGACTGAAACATCACTATTTCCTTTTTGTTTTTAAATTTGAGGGCCAATTTTCAGATATGTTATTTTGACCGTCTGCAATTGGTTTTCACTTTTCAACAGGAAACATTCCTTGGGGAATGAAAACTGCATTTAAAGGTATCCAATTCTAATACGGTCTTTTCAAAACTTACTTTAAACACTTTCCAAATTATAAACCTCACTTTACATGGCACTTAATTATTAAAGCCTATATAGAGCCATACCATGTTTTTTTCCCTAGAACATGATCCATTATCCCCAATTGCCCAGGTCTCTAAAGGTGTAGAGGGAGAAAGATTCCGTAAGCCTTACCTGGATATACATGGTGTAAGATGGGAAATTGCCGCTGCTGATAGCATTGTACAAGTCACGAATACTATAATCCGGGTCCGTCCCAGCTAATTCATCAGCCCGTTGTGCAGTCAAATTCCTGAAATTTCCAAATATATTCCTGATCATGCTCAATTTCCAATTTAAATTTCTTTATTGTGAAAAATAGTAACTTACCACAAATTGCAGCAATGAAGTACAGGTTTGTTATGAAATACTTAAGAACTAGATGAACAATTACACAAAACCTGTACAAATTACTAAGACAATATACAACTATGGCAATATTATTGTCAAAACTAAACACTTTGAAAAACTGTAGACTAATTGCAAAGACTAATTAACATCCTGCCAAAATAATGAAAACTGGTAGCTTTGTATACAGAATGAACTATAGGAAAAGGTGGTACTGTAAATGCAAATTCAATCCACAGCTTTAAAATTTGATACAACTTCCATACGAAATTGGGAGTATTGTATTATTATATCAGATGTCTGAAGCTGGAAAGAAATGCCAGAGCTAACCCTTGATCTTGCCTAGATGTGCTCAGCACATCTAGGCAAGAATATAATGATTCATTTACACTATCTTTATTGAATGCAATGTCATCATATTGATTGTTCAGACATCCATCACAGCTCTACTCTGGAAAAACAAAAAATGACTTTCTTTGATGAAATTTATGATTTTTTCAACTTCATTTTCCAGTCTTAATTTTACTTCTACAGTACTGTACAGTACTTGTGAACCGTTTATCAATTGCAATTTCTACCCTCCAGTTAAGCTCAAAATATTGAAAATATTTGTTAAATGAATTTTACAGCTCATTCAAGCAAGAGATAGATTTACCTAGAACTCTGAATATAAAAATAATCAAGTCCATGATCTATTACTACTTTATAAGGTCATGCCCCTTGCTCAAGAACAGTATAAAATTATTTATGTTATTTTTCATTATTTGACAAATTTCATCATACTGCTATCCCTTGCAATACCAACACCTTGACATTACTCTCGCAAAGTGGGGGAAGCATTAGACAAAAGGAAAAGATGAAAAAGAAGCATATGATGCTACACAATTACACCAATCAATGCATATCATACACACACTACAGAAAACTAAAATCCCACACTTTAGAAAATCTCCACAGTAGACCCCCTCATTACGTCATACAACTAGGCAAGCATACAGCGCTCCTTTCTAGTTATCATGCGCAAACAAAACATTTACTTCCTCTCAACAAACTTCCACCATCTAGCCTTGTTCTCTACAGCATCCAGTGTACTATTCACACACTATCCTCACTTTCTCACACACTTGCCACCTCTGACCACGCTTAATTTTAGACTACATTTATTGTATTTAGTTATTATTAAAGCTACTTGCACATAATTATATCTTACCCCTTTATAGTAATCCTTCATTAATCCACCTTTACAGTTTCCAATTGATATCATTAACTATTACTTATGCAGTCAGTTACCAAAATTTATAGAATAACCTCTACTGAAAGTGAAGGGAAGGCCCAATTCATGTGTAAATGTATTATTAAACCAAATTTTTGGATGAAAGCTACAATGCTTTATCAAGGTACTGTTAAATAATTTTCTGAACAAAGATGCATGTGTTTACATGCCTGGCAGAGCGCCTCGTGTGGCTTCCATCACTGAACGTCGTTATGATGAGTGGACAAGTTAAAACATTTCATACAGTTCTAACTATTAAAGCATACAATTGCATGGTGATATTGAGAAGTATTAAAAGCGGTGTTGTTGTAGCAAGTGAGCACAAATAGGAGAACAGTTGTAAGATAAGTTAGCCTAATAATCAAATTCTATACAATACAGAAAATTTGGAAGCCATCACACTTCAAAATTACAACTTCCTAACTAGGAGATAAATTCTGATAAATAAATGAACAACATATTGTAGCAATTCTCTTAACACTAAATTGCTTGATAGTAGGAAATAAAGCTATTGGCTACAGATAGCTCAAGGAAATTTTAAGCCTTACCTAATCCCTTGGTCTGTCTTGTAGTGGAACTTGCAGTAAACTGCCTCTCCCTTGGCATTAACCAACTTGAATGTGTGCGAGCCATAGCCATTCATGTGACGATAACCATCAGGGGTTCCTCGGTCAGAAAATAAGAAAGTGGCTTGGTGTGTGCTTTCTGGCCTCAATGTCATGAAATCCCAAAACATATCTGCATCCTGAAACATTTACAGATAAAATATTTACTAATTAGATCAATTAAATATGAGTCATTGGAAAGTGTACTGTATACAAGTTTAGTTTTATAATTAGAACATATTATTGAGTATTGTACAGTATTTGCAATGCTGCATTTTTTTAGTAAGAATAAAAGGATATATATCAAAGAAATATACCGTAAATCTAAAAATATGTTCAGGGGTGAACTTGCCTTTAGGCCCCTTAATGTATATACTGTAATGCACAAATGCATATAATGCACATATGATTAAATGCATTATGTGAATATGATTGAAAATTTATACCAAACAATTATAAATAAAAATTATATACAGTAGATACGGGATAAAACAGTAAAAAAATTAAACAAATTTCATGTTATTTTGTATGAAAAAATCATTACATCTTGTAGTAATACAAGACTCAACAAGCTCTTACACACACACAACTTTTTTCCATTAACTTGTTCATACCTTAAGATGAGTAACAGGGTTCCTCTTCTGTGTGTGAATGAAAGACGGGAAAAGAACGGGATCCCGGATGAAGAAGATGGGCGTGTTGTTCCCAACTAAATCCCAATTTCCCTCTTCAGTGTAGAACTTGACTGCAAAACCACGGGGGTCCCTGATAACAGTTGTAATTAGCAATTATTACAACTTTATTAAATTATTAAGTATGAAACAAGTTTTCCCTATGGCATTCTATGCTCCTATTACAGAACAGTACTATCTACAGATCTTAATGTTTAAGTTGAACAACTATACAGATTCTAATTTGTGGACACCACTTTGCAACTAAATAATAGATCCAAATAGCAAAGGAACAACATACTGTATTGCTTGCTGGAAGTTATGACCACACTATCCACATGTACATCTGTGCCACCATATCAACCTATTTCTCTATACATTTAATACCAGCAGATCAAAAGATATACAGTAGGCATAGGAACACAACCAAAGCATATAAGGGGCCTTGTAGTACAGTTGTGTTCGTTCGACGCACACTCAAGAATTCCAGGTTCGAATGCCAGCAGAACAGATATGGTTGGGCACATTTCCTTTCACCTAATGCCTCTGTTCACCTAGCAGTGAATAAGTTAGCCAGCTTGTTGTGGGGTTGCATCCTGGGCAGGGTCAGTAATTCGGTTTTGGGAAGGCGGCTTCCTGTCTTATAAATCCTGTCAATAAAAGGCTTCCTGTCTTACTCCTTATTCCGTCTTACACAGGAAGCTACACTCTGGCTTCCTGTCTTACTCCTTACACAGTAAGCTACACTCTACCTTCCTGTCCCCAACACAATGAATTATATACTCACTTGGGTTACAGATGTGAGCCTTTGGCAAGTTAAATTTAAAGGTGATTTTGACATTGTTCTGTTTATTCTAATGAAACACTTAAGTGTAAGCTTTGAATAGGGCAATTCACAGCATTGTACTACCAATTGAAATTAAGGTCTATAAAATGAGGGCAAGATGTGTGTGTTAATACAACAAAATTATATCCTTTCTTTTTCTTAGGTCACAAACATAACAGAAAGCAACATTATGACGACTCGTGTAAAGAAAATTTCTTCGCTGCTCTTTATTAAGATCACAATCTATAAATTTGTTAATTGCCAACTGTCCTCAACTATAATGGTATAACCTTTGCATGATATGAATGAGTAAAAATATGCAAGAGCCAGAACGTTCTATTTTATACATTTCTTGAGAAGATAAGTTTGCTGAACCTCACCTGGCAGTGTCTGCCGAGCCACTCTCGCCACCAACAGTTGAACATCTCACAGCTAGCGGTGTACGCTTCCCAATCTCGCTGAATATCTTGGCTTTGGTATACTTGGTAATGTCATGAGTCACCTCAAAGTATCCAAATGCACCTGAAAAAAATGGTATAGATGGCATCAATACAGCAAAACATTTAATGTTCTTTTCCCCAAGTTACTTTATCCAAAAGCATAGATTCATTAATGTTCTCTGAATCAAGACTAAATGAATACAGTGGTTTAATCCAAGTTTAGGCAACAGAAAAACTTGCAAACATTAACATAATATGTATGCTTAGTTCTGAATACACACATGGAAACACATCCAGTTTTAAAATAACATACAGTAATTGTATGTTGCATAGTATCTCTTCATCTACTTCCTCCTCGTGTTGACTCGTGTTGAATACCTGTACAACAATCCAAAAATGACTTACCAGCACCCTTTGCATGAACGACTCTTTCAGGAATGCGTTCTCTATCAAAGTGAGCCATCTCATCAATTAACTGCAAGTCTTGAAGTAGAATGGGGCCTCGTGGCCCAACAGTCAGGGAGTTCATTCTGTCAGAAAGAGGACATCCGAGGCCTGTTGTCAGACGCTCTGGAGCCTAAAAAGAAATTTAGACTAATAAAAAGTATTCGAAACCTTACAAACTGTATCCAAAACCTTACAAACTAAATGCTATCGTATGACAAAGCACAATTATTTTTATAATGCATGTAGTGCAACAACCTACAAGTTCCTGCACAGTACTTTGTTTTAGAGTTGCAAGAATAAAAAGCTTTTGATCATTTAAAAATATATACATGGGCTAAGGATGATATACGAACACAATTTGCTGTACTGTATTAACAACTTGAAGAAACCCGAGTACCTAAATAATTTATTGTTCAAGTAGTGCCTAGTACTCAAGATTTTGAGCACCACACATTACTTTACATACTCCTGTATTTAGAAACATACCTACTAACCTTACAGACCTAATAACAACAACGAACTGACAGTAAATCTGTGAAAATTTCCAGGCATACACAAAACACTAAAATATTCAATTTATCCCCACTGAAAACATTCCCTAGAGCCAACTGTGTTAAGTACTGTACCTTGCAAAAGACTTTAGTAATTAAAAGGTTTTAGTTTGTTGGGCCAGAAATTAAAGGTAATACAGTATTTAACTTCAGTAAAGTTTTAGGATATATATAACATGTCACACATCTTTCCTAGGCATGTTTGTTTCTTGCTAGTACTGTACTCTACAGACTATTTTACGGTTCTTGTGACAGCTTTATTTCACTTTCTATATGATTTATCTTTCCATGAATAAGATAGAGGATCCTACAGATGCTGTAAACTGTTGTATATGGTATAGTGGAATATTTGGTTGGGAGAATGAGTAAAGCAGACTGCATAATACAGTAGGTAGATTCTTAATTTACAAATAGCAATGTTAGCAATGAATAGAGTAGATAAAAAGGGAGCAGATTTGAGAGTAACAAAAAATGAAACCCCTAAAATGGGTGACAAAAAGAAATTATAGCACTGAAGTGCAACAGTTTACACAGGTAGAAAAGATAGCTAGTGATTAATATGAACAGTTAAAATGCCATAGATAAATACAACAGTAAGAGAGTGGTGGTAGGTGGTACCAAGAGGCTTGCATATAAGGCGCAAGAGCACAAATGCAGGACTTGTGAGAGGCTGCAGAAACAGGTTTGTCAAGAACATCTCAAACTATGCTGCAGTTGAAGGTCACAGGTGCCGAGTTGCAACCATACTACATGAATTTTTGAGGGACCACACTCACACTATACAGTACATATATCAGAATTGTAAAATATCACAAGCATACTATTAATCTCAGGTGAAGATGCCACACAAGAAGAAACCCAACAAACATTACTTATACAACTCTTAACCTGCTCAATTATATTCTATTTTAGCTTCTTTTATCCAGTGATCTAAGGCACCAAACCACTACGCTGCTAAGTACTGGTCAGTCAGCTTCCAGAAGGTTAAAGTAAAACAAAACAAAAAGTTCCTCTTAACCAGTCCAGTACCAATCACCAACTATTATTATTAATGAAAATAAACACTCAAAATTACCAAATTACTTAATAAAATATTTGTAATTTCTAACATGTTCATATGTATTAATAAAAGAACTTAATAACAAATATATAATAATAACTGAAAAATTATGTTCAAAGACCCAAGAGTGACTTGAGGTTGACTTATGCTGACAGACCTCAAGTGCTGTATCCAATGACGAGATAATGAAGTTTACAATGTTACACAATTACTGCTCCACACACGACCAGAATAACTAGCACTCACAATCTGGTAATAACATTAATACAAATAAATCCACAAAGCCATTTTCACCTACAGTCCTATCATTAATTTCATATATAACTGCTTTTTCCTACATTTAATGAAACTTTATATACAACAACAGGGCCTTTTGTAATTAACATTTTTATGTCCCTTCATAAAAATAAAGATACTATGAAGAATATATAGACGTGTACAAACATGTTACTGTAGTGTTGGTGTGCAACCCCTTAGTCCTTGGACTTTACAGTCAAGGTCAAAGTGTGGGGGTCGAGACAAACAGAGCAGCAAGTCATTCAGCACCCTCACCCCCACGAATATTGCGCCTCCTCACTACCATTTTCCAATATACTGTACTAATTACCATTCCTTTTGTATTACACTATTCAATACTACAGCCTACTGTATACTGGCAAAGGTAACAAATGTACAGAATCTATCAGCATAATAAATAGATCCATGCTTATACACTGTAAGCTACACGTTCCTCTCCATGGGAACAGCCATACTTACCCTGCCTAAAGAAGCATCTAGTGCTTCTCAAAATATACCAACTTTTTCAGAACTTTAATTTAAATTAAACATTTAAAAAAATTCTCAGTTACTTGTTTATATACCACTACCTGTACATATTTTTCCCTGCACTACCTAGTTTTCTCTTACCAAAATTGTGACATAACAAATAGTTGTCAATTGTTTGTGTTTGAATTACTGTACTGTATTATACAAATTTGCCTCTTCTCATTATTATTGAAGGTCTACCAACCATCCCTCATCCTCAAAGGCTGTACAATATATCATATACAGCCAAGACATAAATAAATTCAATAGATTCAAATAAATTCACTGAGGAACAAAAATCATCCCAGAGCTTGGTCATCTCTCGTATCAGGAATGGTTGAGCGCCACAGGGGTAACACTGTAAACCAGGCATGACAGGGTGGATCTCGTTGAAACCTATAAAATACTGTACTGTACTTAAAATACTGGACAATTTCTTCAAAAGGTCAGATGTAACATGAACAAGGAGCAATGGGTTCATGCTCAACAAGCCACAATGTAGGACAGAAAACAGGAGATGCTTTTTCACCCATAGGCTTGTAAACCCGTGGAACTGCCTACCTGCCAAAGCCATAAATGCCAAAACTGCTGGGTTTTAAAACAACTGGAAAAGATCATCAGGGCAAATGGAGGGGGAGGGGGGACCTCTGACAAGCCACCGGCTTCCTGTCTTCATCTAAGCCACTAGTATTAGTGGCCCCTCTTGTAAATTCAGGTAAATTTAGATACATTTTCTATACCTTTACTTTCTTTTCTAAATAATTCACAGTTCATAAGGTCGTTGCATAGCAAGTACAAAGTACAAATATTTAACATGTCCTGAATTTTGTCAACATCAAGTTTAACTAGTTGTCATTAGCCATCAGATGTTTCTTTGTAGTGACATTTATTAAAAAACTCTGCATGGAAATTATATTATAGTTCCAGAATACTGTGAATGGGAAATTCTTCTAAACATTTATGAAATATTTTGCTAAATTGAGAAAGATATCAAAATGAAAATTAAGTAAAAAAATCATGAAATGAATAGACTACAAGAGGAAAACTAAGAACAACTTTTAAACTGGAAATTTAATTATGAAGTAAAAAGAAGAGCAGAAGAATAATGAGGAGGAAAGGAGAGAGATCACAAAAAGAACAGAAAGGACATGGAGAAGTGGTAGTAATATTAGGAACAAAGTAGAGAAATAAACTAAATAAATTGAACAAATTATGAAAGAAAATGAAAGGAAGAATTAAAAATTTAAAAGGAAAAAATTACAGAAAAAAAGAACAAAGAAGGAAAGGAAGATCAAGAAAAAAAACATTCTTACCCAATAAGATGTCGAGTGGGATTTTCCCCACTGTCTACAGACTAGCGCTAGTCCAGTTTTTAGACGATGACAATGAACACACACGAACCAACTCATATGTTGTCTAAATACCTGCTACACATTCACACTACCATATTTAATTTGATTAATAATCTGATATTTGTTAGTAGAGAATAATTAATGCTGCCAATAGGCCACTAATTTCTAGTTTTATCTTTATTTTAAGGCAGTTTTTTTTTTATTTTTTATTTTTTTTTTGGTAACACTGGAGGATACAGGAACAAAAGTCTTCTGGTTTGTCTACCAACTAAGAACTTTCCCAACCACAGCAGGCACCCAAGATTGCAAGTAAAAACAATCTGTTTTGTCTATTAACTAGATGGGGTACCTGGCAGTGCCTGGGTCAACCCCAAAAGGTTGTGCCATTCAAGTGTTCACCCCTAAGCACACACCTTAGACCACTACACTACACTACAACATGTGTGCCTGGGAATACCAAGAGTATAGGTTCAAATCCTCCGTTTGGCTCATTGATTTTCTCGTTGAGACAAGTTAATGCGATTTCTTTGTACAATAGAACATTCATTTTGTATGTTTGAAGATTATGAAATTACAAACTCGGCAGTCACCATCTTATCTCCATCAACTTCATTGAGGTCTCCATCGGAGCCAACCCCCTCTCAATAAAGAAGAAATAAGACCAACCCTGATCCACCTAAAATAGTACTCTTGGCATCCATTAGTCATCCTGCAAAACATCTAGCCTCACAATCTTAGACAAACTAGCCTTGTTTTACCGATTAATGTTCAAAATCTGAACTTAACATTGTACACAGCGGTGGCTTCCACAACAACTACTTTCAGTCCATTCCACTTGTTGACTACTCATACAGTGTACTGTACAAGTATTCTGTTACATTCCTTCAGCTTTATTCCATTTACAGCATCTTGTCCCCTCTTGTCATGCTTTGAATTTGAAAAGGCTATCCTTGTCCAACTTATCTATTCCCTCAGCATTTTTTATGTTGTGATCATCTACCCTATGTTTCTTCTATCCTCTAGAGTTGAGATTTAATTCCATTAGCCTATTCTTGTAGCTTTATCATCTCAGCTCTGGCATCTATCTTGTCACAAACCTTAGTACTGTATTTAAATTTTGGTTTTATACTGTACAGTCCTTTCATAAAGTGTGGATTTCATGCTGGTGCTGAATATTCCAGTATTAGTGCAACAAATGCTATGTAGATTGCCTTGAAGGAGTTCTGATTTAGGTTTTTAAATGATATTCTTACACATGTTATTTTAATACTGATACAGTATACCAATATAATAATACATTGGCCAATATACTGCCAATGTTATGTATACACCTCCACTGACATGTTCATTTAAGGGCATGACATGATCATGTTCTCAGGTTGGTCATTCATATAAATTAGGAATAACAGCAGTCCCAGGACCTAACCTTGTGGGACTCCACCTGTTACATTCTTCCAGCTTGAAACCTCCTCTCTGAGAGTGATTCTCTGCTTCCTTTCCTTCAGTTACTCTCTTACCCAGTTCGGTGTTTTTCCCCAGTTATCCCAGCCTGCTTCTCCATTCTATATACCAGTCTTTTATACTGAACAGTTTCAAATGTTTTTTGACAATCTAGGAAAATACAGTTTCTCCAGCCTTCTTTTTCCTGTCTCATTTTAGTAACCCAATCATAGAACTCAATCAAGTTTGTCGGGCACGACTTTCCCTTTTTTAATCCATGCTGACCTTTTGTCACATAGTTGATCCACCTCTTCAGATGCTCCATCCTCAACCTGATTACTTTCTCTTGCGCTTTACACAGAATACCTGTCAGTGACACTGGAGTGTAATTTAGTGCCTCCTATCTATCCCACTTTTGAATATAGAGACTACTTAGGAAATCTCCCATTAGTCTAGAAAAGGCATGTCTTAGGTATTTTATTACAAAAGTTAGATAATGGGTGACAAAATACTTCAGCACCATATCTCTTCTACAGTGACAATGTCATTCATTAGTTGACAATCTATTTTCAAGTGATCTCTCAGCAATGCTTTTGAAAGACCTGTTGTCTATGAGCCACAGTAATTATCTGCTCTTGACAAATTAACAGTACAGTACTGAATTTATTTAATAAGAATTTACCATTTAAAATTCTGCATTTATGAAAATATTTACATAAAACACTGATTATAATACAAATACTGTACAGTATAGTACAGTACAAAGCCCATATACTAAGTGCCCTTAAATTTAAAATGCAATTATTATAACGTATATACAGTAAAAATCACTGATAATCCTACATTATCCTCATACAGAGTAAAATGGTTCCTCAAAATCTTCAGAAACAAACAAAAAAAACTTCAGTACAACATTGTACTATACTTTAGAATGAAGACAACATAACTTACTATATTTTTTAATACTTTTTAATCTTTTGAATTATTATTTATTTATTCTGTATTTGTATTAAAAGTCCCTTCCATTAATGCTTATTACCAGATGAGAGTGGTAATAAGTGGACATGCAGTGTCTGTCTGCATCACAGTGGTTGTACACTTCTTTCAGTTGCACTTCCCTGCATGATCATATGACTTTAGTTATTAATTTTCTGCAAATATCTCCCTAATTCTAAGATGTTATATTTTCTTTATTACAATTAGTCACAAGGGAAATCTCGTGTCATGACAATGGAAGAACTGGAAAACAATTAAAACCTATAAAAAATAAAATATATAACAGTCTAATTCTGATTTATGTACAGTAACAATAAAACAAAACAGACAATGTGACAATGGGCATTGTGCAACCAAGAAAAAATATTTAATACTTTATCAGAGCTGTACATCACGACACTATATACAGTATTTTAACTCTTTACGCCCACCTTTTAAAAATTACTTGAGTAGAATAGCCACAAATGATTGTGCTGCAGTTTATTTAGGTGGTCATGCAACACAGCAACATTACAAGAGTAACAAATGGGTCAATTTCATATATACTGTTTAAGTTACCAATTATGTTTTGTAGTGTACATATTTATAAATTTGTTCAAATAAAAAACTGAAATCATTAATTTCATCTTCATAGTATCCCACTTTGTGATATTTACTTAACACGAGTCTTGTGCTTCCCACTCGCCCAGTATAATATAATGTTTAATTTTATCTCTTAATACTGATGTAGTTATGTAAATTCTAATTCTTTTATAAAGTACCTATCATTATGCTTATTTGTTATCTTAAGGACTTCGTGGAAATGGTAAAGCCACTAGCAAGCATACAAGTATATACTACTCGCCCACCAGTATATGTGCTTTAACAACAAACTATTTTGTAAATGAATGAATAAAAAATACAATACAATACAGTACTTTACACTGTACTGGAGGCTGTAGCTGTCCCCCATTCTAACAGGAACTGTACAGTACTAGAAATTTATTATTTTTGAAGTGGTGTAAACCTCAAACAAAATAATATACACACAGTTCCCCTGTTAGGTTCAGCATGAGATGTATTGAAATAAAGATTTCATTTGATAATTAAGATCTTTAACAACATTAACCAAATATATTGGTACACTAAATTTTTCTACCGTAAGCGTGCACTACCTGATGTCAATAAAGCCTTCCTACTGTATTCCTTATACAATAACTACAACACTGTAGTTATGCTTCTTGATAACTGGCAGCCTGCAGCATGCTTCACTTGCAATTAAATCAAACTGAATTGCCAGCAAGGAATAAATATTTGGTCCCGGTAGTACAGTTGGGTTCGTTTTTGATGCACAATCGAGAATTCCAGGTTCGAATCCCGGGTGGGACTGAAATGGTTGGGCACATTTCCTTTCACCTAATGCATCTGTTTACCTAGCAGTGAGTAGGTACTCAGGAGTTAGTCAGCTTGTTATGGGGTTGCATCCTGGGCGGAGTTAGTAATTCGATCTTGAGGGGGGGGGGGGTGAGGGAGGAAGGGACCTCAATAAAATTTAGAACGGTTCAGTCCTACATTTCAGCCACAACGCAGGACAGAAAATAGGAGATGCTTTTTCACCCTTAGGGTTGTAAACCCGTGGAACCGCCTACCTGCCAAAGCCGTAAACGCCAAAACTACGCTGGGTTTTAAAATAGAGGTAGAAAAGATCACCAGGGCAAATGGGGGGTTACCTCTGACAAGCCACCGGCTTCCTGTCCTCGTCGAGGCCACTAGTATTAGTGGCCCCTCTGGTAAATTCAGATAAAAGCCAAAACGTGCATGAATACATAAACTGCTAGCTGAACAGGCTCATCAGGGTGAAAGAAACTGCCCATTTGTTTCCGCCTCCGCCTGGGATCGAGCCCGGAACCTTAGAACTATTAACGCTGAGCGCTGTCCACTCAGCCATCAGGCCCCTGGAGGTGCAAGTCACCAAGTAACTGAGCAGTAAAACATCAAGTACGCAAGGCACCAATATAGCAAGCAAGAGTATACCCCTGTCCGGCAAACATCACCGGTTGCACTAAACTAATATATATACTGTATCTGACTTTCCAAAACATACCGTCTGGCTCTTCTTGAACTCAGAGAGTTGGTTGGCGGCGTTGTCCCGTGGCATCTTGGTGGTGGTGGTGTTGGAGCAGCGGTGAAGCGGTGTATGGTCGACGCTGGTGAGGCGCAGACTGGCCACTCTTGCTGGCTCCTGCTGGTGCCTCGCCCCCCACTACATCAACCCCGCCCCCACCTACCACATCAACAACCCCCACTCCTTCCCCCCCATCTCCACCACAACCCTCTCGCCAGCTCTACCCAACGCTCTCTCTCTCTCCAGAACCAATGTTCCCAACAGTTTCCCCAACACAGTCTCCCTCACTCAACTCTCTACAACCTATATGCTCCTCCATCATTTTCCCCCAAATATAGTCACCTTAACACGCAATCCAACCCCTATACACACCCCGCGGCCCATGCTCCCCAACCCCGTTCCCCAAACCATTACATCTTCAACACAAGTACTGTACCTAACATGTACAGGTCGACCTATAATACCTTCTCAAACACACACTCAACCCCACTCTCTAAACCTGAAACCTCAACCCATGCAAACAGGAATGGGTCTTCATTCCTTATCATGCAGTATTTCAACTATATTAGGAAGATAGACAATGCCGGGAAACCCCACAGGTACACGGGTTCTTGTAATAAATTTATGGAAGCAGCAAACGAAAAACTATACAACAAGAACAGCATGACACTGAATCTGCAGGAATGAGGGGTAATACTGAACAAGCCAGACTTGACCTGATATTCACTTTGAATGAGCCTACATAAGGTACTGTATTTGGAACATAAGAACAAAGGTAACTGCAGAAGGCCTATTGGCCCATATCTTGTTACTGTATCATCATTACCTAGCTTCAAAACTTTACATTTATCAGCATTAAACTGCATCTGCCAATCTTTTGACCATTTCAAAACCCTATTTAGATCAACTTGAAGTGATAGCGAGTCTTCTTTCGTGTTAATTTCCCTACCGATTTTTGTATCATCGGCAAATTTGCAAATGTTGCTACTGAAACCTGAATCTAACTCATTTATATATATTATAAACAACAGAGGTCCCAATACAGAGCCCTGAGGCACTCCACTTACAACATTTTTCCCACTCTGACTAAACCCAATTTATAATAACTGTTTCTTTTGGTATAGCCATGCCCTAAAACGGAATGAGGGCTCACTCTGTATTGGTATTTTAGTATATTTTATAAGTAGGGAGGTTTTTAGGTTAGCCTCCATAAGGATAAGTTAGCCTCCCTTATCCCTATTGGTTAGGGATAAGACCATCAGGGTAGGTAGGAGGACAAATTTCAGCTTGTGAACATGTAGGTCCACAATTAGGGGACCAGGATGAGGGGACACGTGTGGGGGACCAGGACGAGGGGGACACGTGGGTCGGACAAGGACGAGATAACACATGAGAGGGAGCAACAATTTCCTTATGATGAGCAGCTAGCAATGCATCACGAATAATTATTTAAATTATGGCTAAGTATGCCGAGTAATCACAGTCTATTGTTTAATTAAAAGTGCACACTCCTCAGTGTATATAAAACTCACAACATCCGCCTAGGGATCACAAACAGTGATACACTTCAGCGTCTGGTGGTTCAGATCATATAATTCCTAAATATACCGTATCTCCGGAGACTTTCCTTATCTCTCAAATTACCAGCCAAAATGTTAGTCACTCATAACACTTACATATGCTACTCATGATGACTACTCACGTTCTCCACCACCGAGATGTGCGCTGCGGCCTCAAGTGGGTGTGTAAATAGTCCCACAGACATGTCGACCTCTCCTGTCCTCAGCTCCTTTCCTGGGGTAACCTGGGCTCCTAAATAGGCTGTAGGATCAAGACTACTTATGCCACTTGCTCGAGCCAATCATCTCCACTCCCAATCCACATCTGGGCGAGATATGTCTCTGCTTCACACAACAAGCCTTCTGTGCCTGGACCGTTATCCGGTCCAGCGTCCGGTCACCAGCGGAGCCCACCTGGCTCGGTCAACAAAGGCCTGGTGACACTCAAGAGTTCCCTGCTATCTGGCGCGTAACATGTCTTCAACAACCACCACACCAAACACAGTCAACCATTCATTCACATAACTACTTCCGCCGCCCTATATATTTGAGAGAGAAATCTACTAATTTATTCCTTAATTTATTCCTACAACAATCTGGATACAACACTTGCGGGAGCTTTCAGAAACCTGTGTAAGGAATCCTTCAGAACCTTGTATACCACATATGTCAGGCCAATCCTGGAGTATGCAGCCCCAGCATGGAGCCCATATCTAGTCAAGCACAAGACGAAGCTGGAAAAAGTTCAGAGGTATGCCAATAGGCTACTCCCAGAACTAAGAGGCATGAATTATGAGGACAGACTACGTGAACTGTACCTCACGTTGCTGGAAGACAGAAGAGCTAGGGCAGACATGATCACCACATACAAAAATCTCAGGGGAATTGACAGGGTGGACAAGGATGGATTATTTAACACGGGTGGCACACGCACAAGGGGACACAGGTGGAAGCTGAGTACCCAAATGAGCCACAGAGACATTAGAAAGAATTTTTTCAGTGTCAGAGTAGTTAGTAAATGGAATTCACTAGGAAGTGATGTGGTGGAGGCTGACTCCATACACAGTTTCAAATGTAGATATGACAGTCCAGTAGGCTCAGGAATCTGTACATCAGTTGATTGATGGTTGAGAGGCGGGACCAAAGAGCCAGAGCTCAACTCCCGCAAGCACAATTAGGTGAGTACTTGATAGTGATCATGAACCTTAGCACCCTATAGCCCTGCCTACTGTACGTCGACCTTGACACAAAGTAATCTTGCCTAGGTCGACCTTGACACAAAGTAACCCTACCTACACTGCCCTTGACACTCAGTAATCCCACCTACGCTGACCCTGACATTGAGGCCGCGGACCATTACTTATACAAGCTTCTGAGAAAGGCAGTCAATACCCGCCGCTTTCCTCGAAAATGTAATTAGCAATATCGTAAAGAACTTTTCCTTTCTAATTTTTGAGGCGAAGGGAGGACGAACATTAGTAATTTTAATGAAGTTTGCTTACCAAGAATTAGGCTAACGAATAGTTGAGTGATAACATCATAGAAAACACAACATGTACGATAGCAAATAATAAAGGTACATATTGATCCAGAAAAAGATATCTATAAGGAACACGCACAAGCGTCTACAGCACAAGATACCATTGTTTACAGCCCGTCCTCTCTAGTTGTCACAACGTCACAAAAATGATGTATTAAATTGCCCGAACCTAACCTAACCGAGGACCCACAAATAGAAAACGGGAATCCATTAATTTTGCGAGCCGGTATGATTTATAGTACATCATATGTTGACGTTGGGGATTTTGATGCCAAAATGCGATGTACTATTGGAGAGGACCGGATACCCCTTCATTGGCAGGGAGGGGCTGATCAATGGGGCTTCATTATGGGGGGGATTGACAGTCAAGAGTCGGGTCCAAAGAGCCAAAGCTCAACCCCCGCAAGCACAACTAGGCGAGTACTAATGTTCACTAATTTGAATTTAATACTTGTCTTTTTCAATGAATTAAAACATTAATGAATTCTGAAACTTCACTTGAGCGTGATCTTGAGGTAGTTTCCACTTGAGCGGAAAATAGTGTTTATCTTAGTCTTAAATTAAAATAATTTATCCAAGAATATTTAAAAATGCTTACTTCAGGGAAGTTAATATTAATTAATTCAAATGTAAATTTATTAATTTTTAATTAATTCAAACGTAAATTAATTCAAATGCAGAATTATTCAAATGTAAATTTATTAACGCAAACGTTTAATGAAAAATGTTACATGTTAGGCATACACCGGCAAACGTTTATTGACATGGTATTAACAAGTAGGTAAATGGGATAACATGGAATATGTTAATAAGTGGGAACAAATGTATAATCATTAAAACGTGGTAATGACAATTCATGATAATAATAATAATAATAAATAATAATAATAATAATTATTAATTATTATTATTATTATTATTTATTTCCAGGAACGTACAATGGATTGGCGAGATCACGTAAGATCGGTATTTTTAGATTCCTGCAAAGCCACTAACACGCATAGTGTTTCTGGCAGCTCCTTAATCTAACATATCAGGTAAGATGAAAGGGTACATTGTAGCAACGTTTTTATATCAACAAATATAATATATCACAATATAAGTTGACAGAGGTGATTATACTGGTAACGATATGTGTCGTAAGTACTAATATTGGGGAAATGGTTAGTACAAGATACAGTGAGAGTTTGAAGCACAAGGCAGGAAACTCCGAGAATAAAATAAGGTACTTTTTTATTTTACTTTTGAACAGAGGACATGGGTTGGACATTGTTTTAATTCATCAGGGAGCGAATTCCAAAGATTGTGTTCTTTTACTTGTATGGCGACTTTGCCCAGATTTAGCCTGACTGGGGATATCAAAGTTGTATTTATTTCTGGTGTGGTGCTCATGAGTTCTATTACACCTATCAAGGAAAAGTTTCAGATCAAGATTGGCATTTAGGAACAAGGTTTCGTACATGTAGATAGCACATGAGAATGTGTGGAGTGTATGTTTAGCATGTTAAGGGATTTAAATAGAGGGGTTGTGTGTTGTATGAAGACAGAGTTTGTTATAGTTCTGATAGCAGATCTTTGTTGAGTAATGGCCAGTAACAGCAATAATAGACCAGTAACGATCAGTAACGAGGCGAGAAAATTTTAAATACGTAATTTTAATATGACAAACAGTATCTTAGGAAACACTGATGCCAAGGTGACAGTGTTAGTAATCTGAATGTACGTAACTAAGAAAAGTATAGTGTATGTGAGCGCGTTCTCTAACAAAACCAGGAAAGTAATGGAGAGTTAACTAAAGAATAGCGGTGAAACATTGGGGACTGTTACGCTCTGTTCTTGGTGAACGTTTGTCCACAACCTCTACCTTCAACACATGCACGCACGCAAGCACGCATGCACACCCTATACACAGCAAAGTTGAGATTCGTTCTTGAATATGCATCCCCGGCATGAAACCTTCACCTTAAAAAACGACAAGGAAAACTAGAAAAGGTCCAAAGATATGCAACAAGGCTCGTTCCCGAGCTGAAGGGATTG